GCTGATTCGTTATCATTGCGTTATTAGCGTATTGATAGATGATAAGTTTTAAAATGTCTAGCTAATGTGCATGAATGATTGCAACTTCATCGAAATTGCTTCTAGACAATTTTCAAAAGCACTCTCGTTATCAAGGACCGCCCGACTGATAGTTTTTAAAATTTGAAACTCACTTACATGCTGCATAGCGCTCAGAGAACTCAAGTGATCCATCAGTATGAATTTACTGCAATATAAAAAAGTATAAGCTAACCTGAACAAAGCAATATCACGCCCTGTCATAAATCAAAATTCAATGATAAACAAATTCCGACATGCGCCACGTGAATACGAAATTAAGATTCATGTCCATCACAGAAAATCGATTGCAAGTTGAAATTGAATAGGAATTTAAGTTATAAAGTATTTCCAAATACAAATAATTTTCAATGAGAATACCTCTTCATTGAAAGCAATGATGACATTCGACTTTTAGTTGTTATATTTATTCTCATGAGGTGATCAAAGATGGAGGTTCATGCCCAACGAGAGCGCAGATTTAATAATAATAATAGCGGTTTCAGCGTTTATTAGGCCGTAGGCCTGTCGCCGATTCTTAACATCGCAGAACATTCACAGCATTTTGAGGTTTCGAACTCGCAACGCACTGCTACAATTCTGCTGTGCTTAACCGCCCGGCCTCCTTGCCGATTCTGACCAAAAACTGACGCATAGAGCTGGGATCGAACCCGCGCCTCTCTTGTGCGTCAATCTTGGTACTCTGAACTGTAACCACTGGGCCACCCTGCCCAGTGGTTATGTTGACGTTCCCTAGTTTCAAATTGTTCTGAAGACGAACTTGCGCTTTAGGGATGTTCGTTGAACTATTATTAGTTTCTAGGTGTAAGCACATGTAACTTGTTTGTGAACACCCGTCAGCTCGGCATGGTATTGAGTTTTTCTGTCATGTTGACGACGGTCTCGTATAAGCGGAAGTTGGGTATTTCGTGGACAATTTTGCAGAAAGAAGTTTCTTATAAGGTATCAACCGTAAGAAGACCTAGTCTCTAGAGAGGAATTTATTTTATTAAAGCAGTACAAACACTGCAGTAGTTCCAGTTTGTTCCGACCGGGCATACTTTTAAAGATATTTACGAGTTCATAAATTCGTCAGCCTATCACTTACGGCTTTTTATGCTAAACCCACTAATCACGGACAAAAAAAATTCGGCCGCTACGTGTATTTTGGCCACTACGTGTACTTGGGCTGTTACGTGCAATTTAGCCGCTACGTGTGCTTAGGCCGCTACGTGTACCTGAGCTGCTTCATGTACTTAGACCGCTACGTGTACTTAGGCCGCTAAATGTACTTAGGCCGCTACGTGTACTTGAGCTGCTACATGTACTTAGACCGCTAGGTGTACTTAAGCTGCTAAATGTACTTAGGCCGCTACGTGTATTTGAGCTGCTACATGTACTTTTGAGCTGCTACAGGAAAGCAAGTTTTGATAGAGGGACCCCTGTTTTTCACGGCAAAATTGTCCGTTCGACAGCAATTGAAGTTTGCTCGTTTCTAGCGGCTGGCTTCGTTAAAGAAAAAACTCTTCGCGTTCAATGCAGCACCGAAAAATGTCTCATCGACTGCTAGATGTTGTTTCGGAATCGTCTCGCGAATTTAATAGACCAAAATTGTGATTAATTTTCAATATTTTTACCTGAAAAATATCGTAACCTCGTAGTTACTTTACATTTTCAATCCTTTCATTGTGATTACCCGTCAACTCACCCCATAAATGAGGATTGAAGCAAATTATTTAGTCACAATACAAATATAAATGAATAATTTTACAGTAAACAATGATTCTTTTCGGCAATGAGGTGTCTCAGCGATGACTGCAAAATCCCGTTGTGTCTCCGCAGACTCCGAAGAATAAATGGCTCGTATTGCCTAAATGGTGAAACACTTTCTGGACGTAGCACTGATATACCGTTATGCCGGGCCAACCTGTGTCAGGATAACCCATACAAAAGCAACAGGTGCATGGCTATTTGGACAAAATGTCCTCGTTTCTCTGAGTGTTTAGCCTACATTTCAAATTCAGTAAGCCATTAGAATTCAGTCTAAGAAGGCCACCTAAACTTTTACCGAACAGAAAACTGAGTTTTTTTATTTTTAAAATTTTATTACTGATATCGATCACCTGACGAATAATTAAGAGGCAGATTAGGCATTAAAAGGAGAAAAAAACATTGATCGAATGGCTCGTATTCAATTAAATGATTTAAACTGAACTAAAGAACAGATTTGGATTCTAAAATCACAAAAATAATAAATGTAAATAAGAAAAGTATTGTTGCTTAGCCAGAGTTAATACTTTCACTTTGATCAGTCACAGTTCAAAAATCTTATAACTTGTATTGAAATTATCGGAACATAACTACGGACGACAGTTACACGAATAGTGAAACATTAATTACTTCAAAACAACGCATTTGTCCTGGAGGCACGTTTACGCCCTTCCAGACTTCGCATATAGTATTTCTACCTGAACCTGAGTAAGGTGTCTACCGGTAGGTCAGGGTAGCTCTAACGCTATAGTTACATTGCGGCGTACTTAGCTTCTGGGGGCCTTAGTAAGGTTCCCAGCACATTTATGGACTTCGTATACCTCCGTTCACCGGGTTCTTGTCATCGTGACACATGCGCTGTACGTATAAGCTGTTAACACAGTGTCTGAGGAAGCTCTCAGTGACACAGTGGACTAGTAGCTAACTAGGTTTGCTGGTAAAATATAATATAATATAATATAATGTTTTATAAAATAATTTGATAGAATAGAAAAAGTGTCGGCGCTGAAGAAATAGGCCCATGACCTGTTGCCAATTCGTTTACTTTGCGTCACTTTTGTTCAGAGGAGATCTAAAAACTGACCTTTTGACCAGGGCTTCCAAAATAGGTTCGCTTCAGTGTTCGCATGGAAAATGTGCCAATATATTGAAAATGTTAGGATGAATCTCTGGAACATTATAGTTGTATTTTAACATTTGACTCTTTATAAAAAATGAAATAATTATACCGTTACAGAGAAAATATATAAAAATTTCCAGTTAAACTAGAGAAAATGATGTTCAAATTCAGGTCTTGTGGTAGCTTAGAGACGGTCGAGCTGTTAAGATCAGCAAAATTTGAGCAACGAGTTGTGGGTTCACAACCTTCAAGCAGTTGTGATAGTTCTAGTTGAGATCGGCAAGGTTATTCCGATCTCCAAACTTACACTAATACACAATATGTGTAGATAATAATAGCGGTTTCAGCGTTTATTAGGTTGTTATAAATGTCGCCGATTCTTAACATTGCAGAAAATTCACAGCTTGTAGCGGTCTCGAACACGCAACTCAATTAATGCTTCAAGTTTGCTTTGCTTAACTGCCGGACTCCTCGCCGATTCCGACCAGAATCTGGCGCACAGAGCTGGGATCGAACCCTCACCTCTCTACCTCACCCTTGGTATAAACTCTTAACTATAACCACTGGGCCATCCTGTTCAAATATATTTTTTTATACTGATATATTTATTGTTTTCCAAAAGAGAGCAGCTCGCGGTTGGAAGACATCACGGAAAAAAATGTAGCCAAAATCGACCGCTACATCGCAGAGATAATTACAACAAAGATGCCGGACCTGAAATTTTCCTACGACTGATGTTTCAACTCTGTTTTAATGATAAAAATGGAAATTCAATCACAATTTATTTAATAAGGATCAACTAATTTAATATAACTTTGTTATCAGGTGACTCGGAGGTCCGGGTATATTCGCATGAAATGTATAATTTAATACAATTGCTTGTTAATCATTGTAATCATAATATAAAGAATAAATAATATATAATTCTAATAATTATTGTTTGTTAATAATTTTATAATTTAATCACACTCCCTAAAATTACATTTTTATTTAAGTTTGATATGATCGTGAGACGTCATAGAGTTTGGCTGGAGTTTTGGCTCACGTTGGCTATCTAATTTCAAACATCCCGAAAACACATAACACAAATACAAGAAAATATTGCGAAATGACGGAGACAAAGACGACTTTGAAACTGAACGTATCCTCAATGTACAGACAGTGTACAGGTCCTCACAAGGAAACAACATTCAAATCAAATATCCTTACAGCAACGACAACCTTATACCGACTGCACCCAGTAGACTTCCCACCCACAACAGTTGCAGAACTCGGTGCAGTGACCAACACACTAAAGTTACACCGCCTACATGAAGTGCCGGCTGTCTGTAGATGCCAGTTTCCAAATATCACATTTAGGTGTAGTAATTCAGCGCTGTGGTACTGATGGAACGTACCAAGACAGGCGTTCAGCAAATACGATTAACGACTTGACTCCACCAAAAAAATGTACGTATTTACCTACTTTCTGAATCTCGATTGACTCACCCTCGTATTTGCATTCTTACTGGCAGCATCATCATCATTGCTATTACTATCATTACGAGTTTGTATCACCACCATCTCAGCTTCCTGTGGCAGTTCTGGTCGAAATCGGCGAGGTGGCCGTACTGTGAGCATAGTGGATATTGGAGCAGTGAGTTGCGTGTTCAAGACCCGCAAAAAGCTGTGAAAGGCTCTGTCATGACAAGAATCGGCAAAAAGGCCTCATGGTCTAATATGCTATGATGGTAAAAATGTCATCGTAAAAAACACACACAAAAGCAAAATGAATATAAATGAAGAGAGTACATAGAACTTTATTTTCTCTTTTGTATTCCTGATGTAAATACGAACCCACGTGATTCAATGGAAAAGAGATATTTTTATAGAAGGTGTCGAAATGAATAAGTTGGAACTATACAATTCCATCCCCAGTATTTTGAACATGTTTCAGAATCCAATGCAAGTTTCAATATATACAACTCGTAATTATCCAATGTTTCCGAGCAAGGCGGACTTCTCATCCTCATTGATCATAGAAACCAAAAGTGGGATTAACAAAACCCTGACAACGAAATCAAACCAACGAAATCAAACCAACGAAATCAAATCAAATCAGTGATTAAAATGCAGTATGCCAAATCAAGGCGTTTATTTATTCACTCTGAAAGAGTGATGATGTCCGTAAATCTTACCAAGTTGATGAGTGATAGAAGCATACAAGGGTTCAAGATCAGCTTGATTTTTGATGCTCGCATGATATTGTGCTGAATGAATATTTTGTTGAGAAGTTGAGAACAACTGATTTGGATCGCTTGCATGTAACTCTCTTACATAAGAAAAGTAAAATAAACCTGAATCATCACTTTTTACACCTGGTGAGTCTTCCAGAAGAATCAAATCTTCTAATCTTCATCTCTCTTAATCTTCATAAATTAAGAGAAAGTCGAACTTTGCATTAAAGTGTCATTTGCAGAATATTGATCCCACCTTGTTTCATTTCATCCGACGAAATAAATCTTTCAAATGAGGTTGTCACTGTTTTTTCCTGTTATTACTTTTCTCGCTTGCTTGGCAAATAACGGGCGTGACCTCTCATTGCGATCATGGGAACTACAGCGAAAGCCCGCGTTGCGAAGCTGTAGGGGAAATTTTGTCCGCTAAAGCGGTATAGCCTCTCCAACTTCCTTAACGATATTTCCGGCTGTGGGCCCGAGGGCAATTTCTGCTACGTTTCCGGCAACTTCCTTAAGTTTGCCGAATGTAGACTTCTCTTCAACCTTGGCCACCTTTGCGCGTTCTTTCACCTTCTGGAAAAAATGTTGCTCATTATGATTGTAACTTCATTCACTTCCTTCGGTCAATTTTTTGGACCACAGTTATTGAAGTATTTTGAAATATTGTGAAAATTAAAGGGTTGTTATTCATGAGCACACACTCTGGCATTACAATGCTTCTTTCATACAACAATAAAACCTTAGATAGCTACATTTATATACGTTTATATGAAGGAGTTGACAGACTCGTAATCGAAATAGATTGTGGCGAAGCCTTTCACGGATAATTCTGCTGTAGTTTGGCATTATAGAGGAAAATGATGTCGAGGCAACGGTATTATGGAGGTCAATGATGGCGAGAAGACAGCATTGTGGAGGTAAAAGATGACAATGTCGGAGTAGATAACCCAAGTACACGGTGTGTTAGCGACTGAAGAATGGGGTCGTTACTGATACGCCTTAACTGCAAATAATAATTTCTGAATGTGCATTATTTTCATATTTTTGGATATAACAATACAAGCATGGGAGCAATTGATTTTTCAGTGCGGCTGTGCCAATATATATGAGGCGGGAGAAGAGGGTGGTTCAGAGTTTGAATCCAATAATTAAATCATCGTCGCTTTCCGAGGTTTAACCATCACTCAACTACTATCAAGGAAAAAATATGGACAATCACGACAGTGATGTAATGCGTAAGATTTGTGTTAGTAGTTTCTGATGATGATTGATGAGACTCAAGTTTAACCATATTTCTTCTGGACGGGTAGGTTAACTCGTCCTCTGGTTTAACATGCTAGGGAGATTATTTGGTTCAAGTATCCGATCAGTTGCACGTTCAATCAGTAATAGGTAATAAATAAGATGAAATTGAATTTCTTAGCATGAAAAAGTTCAGCCCTACTACTCATCACTCAATTGGAACAGTCGTGAATCTGGACGTGGGCCTTGCATGCAGGCTGGCACGATGCCATCCACAGGAAGCTTCTTTTAATTGATTTATTCAAAACAATAAGTAGCTTCACCAAAACCAATCAGCAATCAACCGTAAATCGTTGACATATTTAAGTAATAAATTAAATACGTTTCAGAGTGGCTAAAATAACGTCGGCAAGCGTTGACGGTCCAAATTCACACAATTATAGTGTACTTAAACTACGTACGTTGTTGGTTGGACCGGTTATGCGTGATGCTGAAGATATTTAAGAACTGTCATGGGTATTTAAAGATTCAGTTGCGTGGTCACATCCTCGTAGACCAGTTTTGGTAGTTACCGCTCTATTTTGCTCAGCTTAGTGAATATTTAACCTCTATTTTTTTAGAAACGTGAATCCAGGATAACCTTGCAGCACAGTGATCACTATATATTCAAACTTCGCTCACATAGCGAAGATGTGATGTGGCATCTGTGTGCTCTCTCATGTTCGTTTCACACATTATTACATGTAATAGATCATGCTTGGTCATTTGAAACTGCTAAACTCTTCAAACTACATTATCTATCGAAAGTCGTGATTTTTCCTATAAAGATCGAGTATGATAAAATTTCAATGACAGTTAATACCTTATTTTTTTATGAATGTCGGTGAAAAATTACCAATGATCAAACCTAGTTCGTATCTCAAAGTTTGAATCCCTGAAGCAAACTTACAATTAAATCATTTTCTTTCACGCGACCTCAGAACGCATTTTGCCCAAGATGGTGAAACTAATGCTGAACTGTTATGATAGTATGGTCTTCAGTAATAAGTCCCCGAACTAAAATTTTCTGTAAAAATTCTGAAGAAGAATTAAACTTGTAACGATTTGCATTTCATCAAACTTGTAGCGATCTGCATTCCATTTTATTTGTAAAGATCTGTATCTCTTCTTGGCTGTTCAGTATACAAATTATGGAACGAACTGGACCTTTCGTCTTCTACTCGACCTTGATGTAATATCGTCGCATTGAACGCCCAGCTCTCAAAGGACTTTAATCGCTCTTGTATTATAAATCCATGTACGTACATTATGGATTGTAAATCCTTTAATCTGACGACACCAGCCGGTAAAAATTGTCTGACATCATGGATTACACACCGTAGAACATCGTGGATTGCACATCTTTCGATCACTCGATATCATGGATTTGTAACCTGGTATATACAATCTATGCGTCGGCTGGTATCACCGATCACGCGCGCCTGCATGCTCATTTGACGCCATTGCAGCACATAATTGCCACCTATTCAAACACATCGGTAATATTTATTGATAGAAATTATTGCCCCTGAGCTCCATGCCTAATTTAAGGCAATGCATGCACTTGATTGTGTAAGCACAATCATCATAACTGTCCACAATCTGGCCGAGAATATACACAGCCCTAATACTCATAGTGTTCGCTCAGCGATAATTTGAGTACATGATTGCACTTTCACTGGATTTGATTCACCATTTCATGGCTTATCAGCTTCAGCTGAAATTACAAATGAACGTTTCGGGTGTATTGGTTCTTTTTGTCGTAAGCTCTAATAGCCTCGCTTTTTTACTGTGAATGATACCTGTAGAAAAGAATCATTATAAGAGATCTTCGCTGGGATTCGATTTTGAGTCCATTTTACTTTTGTGAAGCTCATATGCCAATTCTTGCTGGACTCGTCGATTTCGACACGCTCCATTACAGGAAACGGAAATGTTGTAGGTAAGTTGTTCTCTTAAACTTCAACAGTTGAAAGTTCCCTTAAAAAGTTTATCTAATTATGGTCTATCTTAATAGTTAATCTTAAATTGAAGCTAAGCATACGCCAAACCTCCAAATGTGCAGCACAATCTGGACCTCCATCCTACCTCATCCATCGCCATGTTGTTGTTCTTCTGAACATAGGTCTTGTAGAGTTCTTCCACCTTCTGAAAAAAAGCGGCTCATTATAATTGGAACTTCATTCACTTCCTGCGGTCAATTTTTTGGACCACAGTTATTGAAGTATTTTGAAATACCGTGAACATTAAAGGGTTGTTATTCATGAGCACACGTTCTGGCATAGCAATGCTCCTCTCATGAAAACAATTAAACCTTTGATAGCTACAGGTATATAATGAAAGAGTTAATAGACGAATCGAACTAGATTGTCATGAAGCTTTTCACGCGTAATTCTGCTGTAGATTGGCATTGTATAGGGAAATTATAGCGAAGAAATCGCATTATGGAGGTCAATGATGGCGAGGAGACAGCATTGTGGAGGTAACGCAGATAATGACAATGTCGGAGCAGATAACCCAAGTAGACGGTGTGTAAGCCACAAAAACTGGGGATTATTACTGATGCGCCTAAATGCAAAAAGTAATTTCTAAATGTAATAAATGTTTGGTAATAACAATATGAGCATGTTAATTACGAACAACCTTGCAGCACTGTGATCACTATATATTCAAGCTTCGCTCACATAGCGTTATATGCTGCTGCAGGTGTATGAATGTGGCATCTGTGTACTCTTTTCATGTTCGTTTCAAACATTGTAACATGTACAAGAATAACTAGATCATGCTAGGTCATATTAAGCTGCCTAACTCTTGCATCTACTATACATTATCGTTAGTATATTGTTATTTTATAAAAACGTTTTTCTTTACTCAGCTTCGCGTTTGTTTGTTGTTAACATTGACAACGAAATTTAGCCCACTTCTGATTGCTCAAGAGTTCTGAAATTCGGCATGCAGGCTATTTTCGCCTAACAATTTCAGATACAATCATAAAAACTAGCAATTAGAGACCTAAATTAGCTTAATTGAGTAAAGTATATATTATAGTATATATATAGTATGACGTGCGGGCGCTCACGTTAAGGCCCGTTTACACTACGGGACTGATTCGGAAGGATCGAGACTGGACTGAGACCATAGCGACGAGCTATTATAGACGAGCAGGCGCTGAGTCAAGTAAATTGGCTCACAACAATGTTTTTCATGTGTAGCAAAGGACTAAAAAGGAGAAAATAAAATACTTAAAAGTTTGTTGTGTGCTTTTCGCTTTAATCATAAATCTGCCCGACACACGTTTTTTGGGGCGAGCCATAATTTATTTTCTACTTTTTAGTCCACAAGAAAAACGTGTTTTTTAAAAAGTTTTTTCAAGTATTTTATTTCACATGATAATTATCAAAAAATTCCAATCACAACTAATCATTATTTGTAGTAAATTTATGAGAAAAATTACTAAAGATCAAAACTTCTCAATGATTAAATTCAGGAAGCAAATTTAGATTTAAATAATTTATTTAACCTTTACCGCAGAATGCATTTTGCCCTAGACGTTGTAACTAATGCTGAACTGTTATGAAAGTATGAGTTTCAGTATTTAGTCCCCGCATTAACATTTAATGTAAAAATTTTGAATAAGTATTAAATTTGTAATAATCTGCATCCCATCTAAGTTGCAATGATCGGCATTCTCTTCTTGGTCGTTCATTATTTAATTTATATAGTACGAATTGGACCTCTCGTGTTCTACTCGACATTGATGTTTGATCGTCGCGTTTTTCGCCCACCTCTCAAAGAACTTGAATCGCTCATGGATTACACATCCATGTATTCAAGAACTATAAATCATTGAATCACCTGACTTCATGGATTTCACACCATCGGACATCATGGATTACACATCTTTGAATCACTCGATATCATAGATTTGAAACCGGTATGTACAATTTATACGTCGGCTGGTCCTCCTCCTACCCCAATCCCTGATCGAAACGTTGCCCTACCCCTTTTCCATTTAAATGCGGGTATGAGGCATTTAACTGTTGAAAACGCGTTTGCCAGAGATATCTTCGGGGCACATGCAATTGTGAGGATAAAGAATTGAAATGTAATCATCATCACCCTAAGATTTGACACAAAATTTCAACATTTGGAAGCAAAAACTAACGTGGATGGAAAAATGGGAAAGATTGCGCATACTATCATACACTCCAATGCTGAAATACTATAAAAAATGTAGCTTGAAAACGAGATAACTGCCGGTTTCATCACATTTGATTCAGCCTGCAGGTGGGATGGGACGTTGAGGATAGAAGTGACTCTGATATATACTTCATTCCCGAAACACCGGATAGATTCTACTCCAACACTCAAAACTTCGTAAAAATGCATTTGTTGTCAAAATACGTTACTGGAGGGGCGAATTTATTGAAATCAGAGGAACAATAAGCTGGTTCTAATAATTATCACCCTGGTCACCGCAACGTACCGGAGTGGAGAACAACAACAAAGAGGACTCGATATCAGTGGCAGTAATTTTTTAGGCCTACGGAGGCAAGTATATAGATCAGATTCGTCAACAAATGCAGCAGCTGTTGGCATTGCAAGAAGAGGAGCAAAAACAGCATAAAATTAAACAGTTGCTGAGCCAGAGACCCCCCCCTCCAACAAAGAACGCATGGAAAAAAAGAGTCTGGCATCATGATAGCCAACATCGAGGGGATCTTCCCAAGAAGAAACGACACAAGATCGTCTTGCTTAGAGTAATTGCTGAGACAGAAGGAATAATCATGCTTGTCTTAACCGAGTTACGTCCAAGACTGGATAAACAAGATGGAGAAATCGAAACGAAAGGCTTTCAACGTTACCCAGCAGACCGAAAAGCAGTTAGGAAAAAAGAGGCGTTATAGTCTAATTCAGAAAATTCCTCGCAGAAAAAACAATGCCCCTGCATTGAAAAAACAATGCCCCTGCTCCAATGGATATATGAAGCATGTTATATTACACATTTCCCATCTACTACTGTGCATTGCTATTATATACCGACCGCCAGACTGCCAGCCGGAAAAATTCAATGAAACTCAAGAGAGATTGGAAACAGAGATGGCTAAATTGGGTGAACCTTCCTCAAATATTGTGGTTGCGGGAGACTTCAACCTATCACGCATACGATGGTCACATTTTGACTATTTAGGGCGGCGCAGAGATCAGGACAGAACCAAGGCAACACAACTACTTCGATTCAATAGGGAGCCTGCTAAGTCAACAGGTGCTGGTGCCAACAAGAGAACGCAATATCCTGAGTCTATTCTTCACCGACAAGAAAGAACTGGTAGCTGATGTTCGGTTTGAGGAGACCACACTATCAGACCATCGACTAGTGATGGTCGAGACAACAATTTGAATTGGAACCAGCGACCTCCATCTCGAGGGGGCCTGGCTGGGCTGAATTTTAACCGTCGAAAAACGGACTGGGAGGCTATTGGGAACGAACGCCATGAAATCGACTGGAGATCCAAGTTCCTGGAGTTAAATGCCGAAGCAGTGTACAATGAGCTGTGAAAATTAATACTGCAGGTATGCGCGCGTCACACGCCGGGAAGAACAATACCCAAACGGCAAATAATCCCAAAGGACAGGCGGATCATGAAAGAAAAAGAGCATGAAAAGCGAGTAAGTTTGAACAACTAGATAATGGCCGCCTCCAGGAATATGGAGAAGCGGTGGCTGGAACATCTAAAGGAGAAAATTGAGAATACTGAACGACGGTTGCAGGACTCACACGAGGCTGAGCTACAAGTTGCGGAGGTCTTGAGCTGTGGCTACCATTCGAGAGAATCCCAAATACTTCTACAAATATACCCAGTCAAAGGCGTAAGTCAGGACCACAGTAGAGTCTCTGAAAAGTAACGGTGTCCTTATTGGAGACGATCAGGGCATGTGCGAAGTGCTGGGAGCGCAGTTCGAAAAAGTATTCAGCCAACCCCGATACTCAAGACAGAAGAACGAAATTGTAGTCCTTCAGGAACTACCAGGAGGGCAGGTGCTCATGAACATTGAGTTTGAAACACCGAATCTAGAAAGGTGTATCCAAGAATTATCGGCTTACTCGGTTACAGGGCCAGATGGGGGTACCTGCAGTGTTATTGAAAAAATGCGTCGGTGCACTAAAGGCCATTTTGACTTTGCTGTGGAAAACCTCATTGAGAGAAGAAAACGTTCCTAGCTACCTAAAATTAAGGCTAATAACCCCAATCTACAAAAGGGTGCGAGAGACAAACCACAAAATTACAGGCCGGTTACATTAACATAATAGGTAATCAAGGTATTTGCGAAGGTCGTGGCCAGAGGTTGGTACGGTACATGGAGGAAGCCGGCCTATTCTACGGAAGACCACACGGTTTTATACGAAATCGTTTCTGTTTGTCTCTGTTACTGGAACATCACCACCAAATCCTTGCCATACTGGTGGAGGCGGCCGGGGTTGCCGTGGTGTATTTAGACTTCGCGAAAGAGTTTGACAAAATTGACCATGGAGAGCTCCTTAGAAAATTGCGAGTAATGGGGGTTGGAAGTGTTTTTTTATCATGGATCCACAACTTCCTGACTGAAAGACTACAAGATGCCGTTATTGGAATATCGAGATCGAGTGAGGCTAGGGTGAATAGTGGTGTGCCACTGTACCACAGGGAACGGTACTCGGCCCAATCCTGTTCCTCAATCACATCGCTGAAATAGATGTGGAAGTGAACCACGTATCTGCATTCTCGGCGCAGTGCGGCAACTGGATGGGGTCCCATGAACCCTCACTTTAAGGATCAGAGAAATGGATTAGTTGAACTACTGGAACAGGTTGGAGCGCCTGGGTCTGTACTCACAGCAGAGGAGGCGGGAGAGGTATGTAATTTAAAAAGCATGGAAAACCATAACGGGAATGGCACCAAACTTCGAAAACGAGACATTCAGGATTGAAACTAACTATATCGAAAGAATGGGGAGACTGTGCAGGATCCCCACACTAAGTAACAGATTTGCGGCCAAATTTCAATCCCTGCGCGAAGGATCTTTTTCCGTGGCGGCGCCCATGCTTCTTAACGTCTTACCAAAGGATCCAAGAGAGGGAGAGTTCACCTTGGAGACCTTCAAGAGACAACTGGAAATATTCCTGGGCATAATCCCTGATCGACCACCCTTGCACCGCTACCACCGACGAGAAGCAAGCAAAAACATAGTGCATCTGCAGGCCAAATGAGGGCGGATGTGCGATAGTCAGGAGCGGCGATCCATCGTGAACTGGAATTGCTAGCTACGTCCGAAACATATGCTAGGGACAAAGGAACCGGGAATCGCCGATCACGCGAGCCTCCATGCTCATTTAGCGCCACTGCAGGACATATCTGCCAACTAATCAAACAAATCAATGATATTTATTGATAGAAATTATTGCCTCTGCGCTCCACGCAAAATAAGGCAATGCATGCATTTGCTTGCGTAAGCACAGTCATCATATCTGTCCACATTCTGGCCGCGAATATATAGAACCCAAATACTGAACGTGTTCGATCAGCGATATTGTGAGTACATGATTCCACTTTTGCCTGCTTTGACTCACCGTTTCAAGGCCTTCCCTGACTTCGGATGCTATTGCAAACGAAGCGTCGTTTCTGGTGTATTGGATTTTCTTGTCGTAAGCTGCAATAGCTTCGCTTTCTGACTCTGAATGATAGCTATGTAGATGAAAATCTTCAAGAGATCTTCGCTGGGATTTGGTTTTTGAATCCATTTTACTTCTGTAAAGCTTATATGCCTTCTTGCTGGTCTCTTCGATTTCGACACGCTCCATCGCATGAAAAGGAAATGTTGTTAGTAAGTTGCTCTCGCGAACTTCAACAGTTGAAAGCTCTCGTAAAGTATTTATCTAAATATGGTATGTCTGAATAGTTCATCATAATCGAGGCTAAACATCCATCAAACCTTCAAATGTGCAGTACAATCTGGACCTCCATCCTACCTCGCCCATCGCCATGTTGTTGTTCTTCTGAACATAGGTCCCGAAGAGTTCTTCAATTTTCTGAAAAAAAATGTTGCTCATTATGATTGCAACTTCATCCACTTCCTTCAGCCAATTTTTAATACTCAGTCTTTGAAATATTTTGAAATATCGTGAAAATTAAAGGGATATCATGCATTCATGAGCACACGTTCAGGCATTGCAATGCTGCTCGCATAAAAACAATGAAACCTTAGATAGCTACAAATATTTGGTAGAGTTTATAGACTCCTAATCAAACTAGATTGTCATGAAGCTATTCACGAATATTTCTGCTGTAGATTGGCATTGAAGAGGTCAATGATGGCGATGAGACAGCATTGTGGAGGTAAAGGATGACAATGTCGGAGCAGATAACCCGAGTAGACTGTGTGTTATCAACAAAAAAGTGTTGGTCGTTACCGATACGCCTAATATGTTAAAATAATTTCTGAATGTTGATTATTCATATTTTTGGTAATAATAATAGAAGCATGAGAGTAAATAATTTTTTCAGTGCGATTGTGCCAAAATATGCGGCGGGAGAAGAAGGTGATTCAGAGTTTGAATGCAATAATTATATCATCATCGCTTTCCAAAGTTTAACCATCTCTTAACTATAAACAAGGCAAAAATATGGACAAGCACGACAGTGATGCAATGCGTAAGATTTTGGCGAGTAGTTTTGATGATGATTGATGAGACTCAAGTTTCACCATATTCGTTTCTAGCCGGGCAGTACGTATAACTCGTCCTTGGGTTCAATATGCTAAGGAGATTATTTGGTTCAGTTATACGATCAGTTACACGTTTATATAGTAATAAGGTAAGAATACGATGGAATTCAATTTCTTAATGTAAAAGTTTTCAGCCCTACAACTCATCACTCATTAGGACTGTCGTGAATCTGGACGTGGCCCTTGCATGGAGGCTTGCACGATGAAAACCACAGGAAGATTTCTTTTCATCGAGTTCTTCAAAACAGTAAATAGCTTCACTAAACCAATCAGCGATCAACCACAAATCGTTGATAAATCTAAGTAATTAACTAAATGCGCATGACAGTGGCTAAAATATCGTCGGCAAGCATTGGCGGTCAAAATTCACACAATTATAGTGTAGTTAAACGACGTTGGTGGTTAGACCGGTCATGCGTGATGCAGAAGCTATTTAAGAACGATCATGAGTATTTAAAATTTTAGTTGCGTGGTCACATCTTCGTAGGCAATTTTTTAGTAGTTACCGTTTTTTGTGCTATACTTGATGAATATTTATTTTCTACTTTTTTAGAAATGTAAATCCAGAACCACTTTGCAGCACTGTGATCACTATATATTCAATCTTCGCTCACATGGCGTTATGCTGCCGCCGGTGTATGGATGTGGCATCTGTGTACTTTTTCACGTTTGTTTCACACATTGTAACATCTACTAGATCATGCTTGGTCATTTTAAACTGCTAAATTCTTCCGCCTACATTATCTCTAGTAAATTGTCATTTTTCCTTTAGTATTTATCATAAAATTCCACTCATAGTTAATAAACTATTTTTCATGAATTTCGGTGGAAAATTTCCAATGATCCAAACTAGGTTGTAACTCAATGTTTATATCTCTGGAGAAAATTTAGAATTAAATCCTTAATTTTCCGTTATCTCAGAAGCAATTTGCCCAAGTCGATGAAACTAATGCTGAACTGTTATGATAGTATGAGCTTCGTTATCAAGTCCCCGCACTAACATTTTATGAAAAATTTTAAATAAGCATTAAACTTGTAATGATTTTCATGCCATCTAACTTGTAATGATCTCCATTCTCTTCTTGGCCGTTCAATATTTAAATTATAGTACGAATTGTACCATACGTCTTCTACTCGACATTGATGTTTGATCGTCGCGTTTTTCGCCCAGCTCTCAAAGGACGTGAATCGCTCATGGATTGCAAAGCCATGTACATCACGAATTATGAGTCCTTGAATCGCCTGACATCACGGATTACAAATTATCTGACATCATGACTTGCACATCATCGAACATCATGAATTACACATTTTTGAATCACTCGATAGCGTGGATTTGAAAACAGGTATACACTATTTATGCGTCGGCTCGGCCTCCACCCTAATTCCTGACATAAATGTTATCCTACCCCTCTCCGATTTACGAGTAAATGCGGGTAAGAGGCATTTAACTGTTGAGAAACGCCTTTGCCTGAGATATCTTTAGGGGAAATGAGATTGGGAGGATAAAGAAATGAAATGCAATTATTATCACCCTGCGATCTGTCACAAATTTTCAATATCTGGAAGGAAAAACTAATGTGGATTGAAAAATGGGAAAGACTGCCAATACTATCATCCGCTCCTAGACTAGGTACTATAAAAAATGTAGCTTGCAAACGAGATAACTGTTGGCTTCATCACCTTGGACTCAGCTTGCAGGAGGGAGGTGACGTTGAGGGGAGACGGAACTCCGATACTTCATTCCTGGAACACCGGATAGATTCTACTCCCATACTCAGAGCTTCAGAGAAAATGCAATTGTTATAAAAATACGTTCTGGGAAGTGTGAATTTATCGAAATCAGAGGAATAGCAGGACGGATTCTACGCGATATCAAACGCAGTAATTTTTTAGGCCTGCGGAGGCAAGTAGATCAGATTCATCAACAAATGCTGCAGCTTCCGAAATGGCATGAACAGCAGTAACAATTTCAGCAACAAATGCAATAGCTGCTCAGCCAGAGACTTCTGACAATGCAGTGTTGCAGCACTAAGAACGCATGGAAAAGAAGAGCCTGGCATCATGATAGCCAACATCGAGGGGCTCTTCCCAAGAAGAAAACGCCACAAGATCATCGTACGTAGAGAAATTGCTGAAACAGAAGGAATAATTATGCCTGCCTCAACCGAGTCACACCTAAAAGTGGAGATCCAAGATGGAAAAATCGAAATGAAAGGCTTTCAACATTGCCGAGCAGACAGAACGGACGCGAGGAAGAAAGGGAGGCATTATAGTCTACTTTAGAAACTTCCTCGAGCCAAAACAGTACCCTGCATTTAGGTTACAATGGATATATGGAGCATGTTATATTACACATTTCGCATCTCTAACTGTACATAGCAATCGTATACCGACCGCCTGACTGCCTGCATGAAAAATGCAATGAAACTCTCGAAAGAATAGAAGCAGGTGGCCAATTTGGGTGAACCTTCCCCAAATATTGTGGTTGCGGGAGACTTCAACCTACCACGCACACAATAGTCACACTTAGATTATTAAAGGCAGCGCAGAGAACAGGACAAAATCCAGGCAACACAACTACTTCGATTCGCTAGAGAGCACTTGCTAAGTCAGCAGGTGCAGGTGCCAACAAAAAAACGCAGTATCCTCGATTTATTCTTCACCAGCAATAAAGAACTAGTTGTTGATGTTCGGGATGAGCAGACCACACTGTCAGACAATCGACTAGAGGTAGTCGAATCAACATTTGGGACCAGCTCAGACCTACACCTTGAGAGGTCCTGGCCGGACTACATTTTCATCATCGAATAACAGAATGGGAGGCCATTGGGAACGAACTCTTCGAATTTGACTGGAGATCCAAGTTCCTGGAGTTAAACGCCGGAGCTATGTACAACAAGCTGTGGGAAGAACAATCGCCGGGAAGAACAATCCCCAAACGGCACATAATTCTAAGGGACAGGCGGGTCATCATGAGAAATCGAGTGCTTTTGAACAACCAGATAACGACCGCCCCCAGGAATATGGAGCGTCGGAGGGTGGAGCATTCAAAGGAGAAAATTGAGGACACGGACCGATTGTTGCAGTTATCATACGAGGCTGAGCAACAAGTTGCAGGGGCGCAAGAGGTGGCTGCCTTACGGGAGAATCCCAAATATTTATACAAATATTCTCAGTCAAAGGCGAAAGTCAGGACCACAGTGGGGCCTCTGAAAAGTAACGATGTCTTTATTGGAGACGAGCAGGGCATGTGTGACCTGCTAGTAGCGCAGTTTGAGAAAGTATTCAGCAAACCCCGAAACTCGAGACAGAAGAACACAACTTTAGTTTTCCAGGAACTACCAAGAGGGTGGGTGCTGCTGAACATTGAATTTGAAACACCGAATGCAGAGAGGAGTATCCAAGAATTATGGACTCACTCGGTTACTGGGCCAGATGGGGGTCCCTGCAGTGTTACTGAAGAAATGTTTCAGTGCACTAAAGGTCCCTCCGACTTTGCTCCAAAAAACCTCATTGAGTGAAGGAAACGTTCCTAGTTACCTAAAATTAGGGCTAATAACCCCAATCTATAAAGGAGGTGCGAGAGACAAACCACAAAATTACAGGCCGGTTACATTAATATCACAGGTAATCAAGGTATTGGAGAAAGTCGTGGCCAGAAGGTTGGTACAGTACATAGAGGAAGCTGGCCTGTTCTAATGAAGACAACACAGTTTTAGAATTAATTTCTTCTGATTGTCTCAATTACTGAAGTATCACCACCAAGCCCTTGCCAAGTTGCCATACTGGTGGTGGGGGCCGGGGTTGACGTGGTGTATTGAGACTTCGCGAAAGAGTTTGACAACATTGACCATGGAGAGTTCCTTAGAAAATTACGACTAATGGGGGTTGGAGATGAATTGTTTGCATGGATCCATAACTTCCTAACTGAAAGACTACACGCTGTCGTTGTTGGAGTCTCGAGATCGAGCAAGAGACTATGCAGAAGAGTGGAGTGCCACAGGTAACGGTACTCGGCCCAATCTTCCTCATTCACATCGCCAACATGGATGTTGCAGTGGACAACGCCTCTGGATCGTCATTCGCCGATGACACCAGAATACTAATGACTATTACGGGCAGGATGGGCTGCGAGAGGTTGCAAAAGACCTCGCTGCAATATATGACTGGGCCTTAGTGAACAACCTGCAGTTCAACGGGACCAAGTTTGATGTTCTGAGATACAGAAGTAGCGGAAGATCTGGTAGGGAGCACAGCTACCTGGCACCTGACGGCTTGGAAATCGGAGAGAAGCGACTCGTTCGCGATCTAGGAGTGGTGATGAATACTCAGGTCAAGTTTGGTGGTCACAAACTGGGATGGGGTCTGGGAACTGGATGGGGTACAGCGAATATTCACTTCCAGGATCAGAGGGATGGAAGAGTTGAACTACTGTGAGAGGTTGGGGCGCCTGTACTCACTGCAGAAGTACCGGGAGATATGTCATTCAGAACACATGGAAAATGATGAAGGGAATGGCACCAAACTTACTATGGCACCAAACTTTGGTGCCATAACTTAACTTATGGCACCAAACTAGACATACCACAACGAAAGAAGGGGAAACTGTGCAGGACCCCCCCCCCCGCGACGTAGCAGATCTGCATCCAGATTTCAATCCCTTGCGGGAGGTCTTTTTCCATGGAGGGCCGCAGGCGGTATAACGTCCTACCAAAGGATCTTAGAGAGAGAGAGTGTTCACCTTGGAGACTTTCAAAAGACTACTGGACGTGTTCATTTGCTTATTCCCTGATCGACCACCCTACCTAGCACCACCACCAGCGCCGAGAAGCAAGCAACAGCATCGTGCATCAGCTGGCCTATATGAGGGCGACTACCCGATAGTCAGAGGCGGTGATCCATCGTGGCCTGAAACTTCTACTTTCGAAACATATACTAAAGACACAGGATACGGGTATCACCGATCACGCGCCTGCATGCTAATTTGACGCCATTGCAGCACATATCTGCCTCCTATTCAAATCAATCGATGATATTTATGGATGGAAATTATTAACTTTGCGCTCCATGCAAAATAAGGCAATGCATGCATTTCCTTGTGTAAGCACAGTCATCATATATGTCCACAATCTGGCCACGAATATACACAGCCCAAATGCCAAGAGTTTCGGTCAGCGATATTATGAATACATGATTGCACTTTCGCTGGCTTTGACTCACCGTTTCAAGGCTTTTCCTAGCTTCGGTTGCAATTACGAACGAAGCATCTTTTCTGGAGTATTGGTTTATCTTGTCGTAAGCTGCAATAGCCTCGCTTTCTGACTCTGAATGATAGCTGTTTAGAAGAGAATCTCCAAGAGAACTTCGTTGGGATTTGATTTTTGAATCCATTGTACATTTGTAAAGCTCATATGCTTTCTTGCTGGTCTCATCGATTTCGACACGCTCCATCACATGAAAAGGAAATGTTATAAGTAAGTTGTTCTCGCAAACTTTAACATTGGAAAGTTCCTGTAAAATGTTTATCTAAATATGGTATATATGAATAGGATACAACATAAATTGAGCCCAAATATATACCAAACCTTCTGATGTGCTGTACAATCTGGACCTAAATCCTACCTCGTCCATCGCCATGTTGTTGTTCTTCTGAACATATGTCCCGAAAAGTTCTTCGATCATCTGAGAAAATGATGTTAATTATGATTTCAACTTCATTTACTTTCTTCGGTCAATTTTGCAGACCACAGTTATTGAAGTATTTTGAAATATCGTGAAAAAGTTAAAGGGATATTATTCGAGAGCACACGGTCAGGCCTTACAGTGCTACTCCCATAACAACAGTGAAACTTTGGATAGCTAAAAATATACGGAAGAGCTTATATGCTGTAATGAATTTCTGTGAAACAAAACCAATGATCAAAACTAGTTCGTTTCTCAATGATTAAATTCATGAAGCAAATTTGAAAACAAATCATTTATTTACACGTTACCTCAGAACGCATTTTGCCCCCATACGTTGAAACTAATGCTGAACTGTTATGAAAATATGATCTCCAGTATTAAGACCCAGCACTAACATTTTATATGAAAATTCTTAGGAAGTATTAAACTTGTAATGATCTGAATTCTCTTCTTAGCCGTTCAATAGTTAAATTATTGTAAGAATTGGACATTTCGTCTTCTACTCGACATTGATATTTAATCGTCGCATTTTTCGCCCAGCTCTCAAAGGACTTGAATCACTCTTGGAATATAAATCGATGTGCATCATTGATGACAAACCCTTGAAACTTCTGATATCATGGATTAAATATCGTCTGATAGTATGGATTACAAATCGCCTGACATCATGGATTACACACCGTCGGACCTGGATTACACATATTAGAATCACTCAATATCATTGGTTTGTAACCTAGTATATACAATTTATGCGTCTGCTGGTATCACCGATCACGCGCGCCTGCATGCTCATTTAAAGCCATTGCAGCACATATCTGCCACCTATTCAAACACATCGGTAATATTTATTGATAAAAATTATCGCCCCTGAGCTCCATGCCTAATAAGGCAATGCATGCACTTGATTGTGTAAGCACAATCATCATAACTGTCCACACTCTGGCCGCGAATATACACAGCCCAATTACTCATAGTCTTCAGTGAGCGATATTATGAGTACATGATTGCACTTTCGCTGGCTTTGACTCACCGTTTCAAGGCTTTCCCTAGCTTCAGCGGCAATTACAAATGAAGCGTCGTTTCTGGTGTATTGGTTTTTCTTCTCGTAAGCTGCAATAGCTTCTCTTTTTGACTCTGAGTGACAGTGGTTTAGTAGAATTTCTTGACGAGATCTTCGCTGGGATTCGATTTTTGAATCCAATTTACTTTTGTAAAGCTCATACGCCTTCTTGCTGGTCTCATCGATTTCGACGCGCTCCATCACATGAAAAGGAAATGTTGTAAGTAAGTTGCTCTTGCAAACTTTAACAGTTGAAAGCTCTCGTAAAATGTGTATCTTAATATTGTTTATCTGAATAGTTCATCTTAAATTGAAGTTAAACATCCGCCAAACCTCCAAATGTGCGGTACAACCTGGACCTCCATCCTACCTCGTCCATCGCCAAGTTGTTGTTCTTCAGAACATAGATCCCGAAGAGTTCTTGAATTTTCTGAAAAAATTTTGCTAATTAAAATTACAACTTCATTCACTTTCTTCGACCAATTTTTTAGTCCACAATTATGGAATTATTTGGAAATATCGTGAATATTAAAAGGTTATCATTCAAGAGCACACGTTCTGGCATTGCAATGCTACTCTTAAAAAACAATGAAACCTTATAGATAGTTACAAATAAATGGGAGAGCTACTAGACTCGTAATCGAACTAGATTGTCACGAAGCTTTTCACGTATAATTCTGCAATAAATTGGCATTGTAGAGGAGAGGAAAATGATGTCGAGGCAACGGTATTATGGAGGTCAATGATAGCGAGGAGACAGCATTGTGGAGGTAAAGGATGACAATGTCGGAGCAGATAACCCAAGTAGACAGTGTGTTAGCAACAGAAGAATTACTCGTTAATGATACGCCTAAAATGCAAATAATAGTTTCTGTATGTGCATTATTTTCATGTTTTTGGTAATAACAATACAAGCATGGGAGCAAATAATTTTTCCGGCGCGGTTGTGAAAATATGCGGCGGGAGTAGGTGGTTCAGAGCTTGAATCCAATAATTATAAATCGTTGCTTTTCGTGGTTTAATCAACACATAACAACTATAACCATGGCAAAAATATGGACAATCACTACAGTGATGCAATGTGTAAGATTTTTGCGAGTAGTTTTTGATGATGATTGATTGATTGACTCAAGTTTCACCCCAGTTTTTCTGGGCGGGCAGTTTAACCCGTCTTCGTGATTAATATGCTAAAGAGTTTATTTGGGTCAGTTATTTATACGATCAGTTGCACGTATAAGCAGTAATAAGTTATAAATAAGATGGAATACAATTCCGTAAGGGGAAAATGTTCATCCTAACTACTCATCACTCAATTGGAACAGTCGTGGATCTGGACGTGGCCCTTAATCACTCCAGTGGATTTGTCGTGAATCTAGACATGGACCTTGCATGTAGGATTGCGCGATGAAAACCACGTGAAGCTTTCTTTCCGTCGAGTTCTAACTACTCATCACTCCAGTGGATTCGTCGAGAATCTAGACATGGACTTTGCATGTAGGATTGCACGATGAAAACCACGGGAAGCTTTCTTTCCGTCGAGTTCTTCAAAACAAGAAGTAGCTTTACCAAAACCAACTAGCGATTCCCCACAAATCGTTGATAAATCTAAGTAATTAACTAAATGCGTTGGAGAGTGACTAAAATAACGTCTGTAAGCATTGACGGTCGAAATTCACACAATTATAGTGCGGTTAAACGACGTTGGTGGTTAGACCGGTTATGCCTGATTCTGAAGATATGTAAGAACGATAATGAGTATTTAAAGATTCAGTTGGCTGGTTACATCCTCGTAGGCGAATTTTAGTAGTTACTGGTCTTATTTGCTCATCTTGACCAATATATTATATAACTTCTACTTTTTTAAAAATGTGAATCCAGAACAACCTTGGAGCACAGTTATCACTATATATTCAAACTTCGCTCACGTAGCGTTATGTTGCCGCGGGTGGATATGGATGTGGCAATTTGTGGCATCTGTGTACTCTGTCATATTCGTTTCACGCATTGGTACTTGTACTAGATCATGCTTGGTCATTTAAAACTGCCAAATTCTTCCATATACGTTATCTCTAGCAAATTGTCCGTTTTCCTATAATAATTATCTTAAAATTGCCTTCACAGTTAATCAACTATTTTTCATGAGTTTCGGTGAAAAATTACTAATGATCAAAACTAGATTCTATCTCGATGTTTAAATCCCTGAAGATAACATATAATTAAATCATTTATCTACACGTTACCTCAGAACGCATTTTGCCCAAGATGGTGAAACTAATGCCGAACTGTTATGATAGTATGAGCTTTAGTATTAAGTCATCGAACTAACATTTTATATAAAAATTCTGTAGAAGTATTAAACTTGGAATGATCTGCATTTTATCAAACTTGTTATGATCTGCATTTCATTTTATTCTCTTCTTGGCCGTTCAATAGTTATATTATAATACTAATTGGAGCTTTCGTCTCCTACTGGACATTGAAGTTTGATCATCGCGCTGTTCGCCCAGCTCTCAAAGGACTTGAATCGCTCTTGGAATCAAATCCATGTACATCATGGATTACATATTTTTGAATAACTCGATATCATGGATTTGTAACCTGGTATATACAATTTATGCGTCGGCTGGTATCACCGATCACGCGCGCCTGCATGCTCATTTAACGCCATTGCAGCACATATCTGCCACCTATTCGAACAAATCGATAATATTTATTGACTGAAATTATTACCTCTGAGCTCCATACCAAATGAGGCAATGCATGCAATTGATACTTAAAGCACAATCATCACAACTGTCCACTATCTGGCCGCGAATATGCACAGCCCAATTACACAGAGAGTTCGGTCAGCGATATTATGAGTAAATAATTGCACTTTCGTTGGCTTTGACTCACCATTTCAAGGCTTTTCTTCACTTCATCTGCAATTACAAACGAAGCGTCGTTTCTGGTGTATTGGTTTTTCTTGTCGTAAGCTGCAATAGCTTCTCTTTTTGACTCTGAGTGACAGCTGTTTAGAAGAGAATCTTCAAGAGATCTTCGCTGAGATTTTATGGTTGAATCCATTGTACTTTTGTAAAGCTCATATGCCTTCTTGCTGGTCTCATCGATTTCGACACGCTCCATCACATGAAAAGGAAAAGTTGTAAGTAAGTTGTTCCCGCTAACTTTAACAGTTGAAAGCTCACGTAAAATGTTGGAGCAGATAACTAAATATGATATACAGTATCTGATAAGTTCAACGTAAATTGAGTCCATTAATATACCAAACCTTCGGATTTGCAGTGAAATCTGGACCTCCATCCTACCTCGTCCATCGCCATGTTGTTATTCTTCTGAACATAGGTCCCGAAGAGTTCTTCAATCCTCTGAAAAAAGTCGCTCATTATGATTGCAACTTCATTCACTTCCTCCTGTCAATTTTTTAGTCTACAGTCATTGAAGTGTTTTGAAATATCATGAAAATTAAAGGATTATTATTCACGAGCACACGTCCTGGCATTAAAATGCTACTCTCATATAACAATGAAACCTTAGATAGCTACAAATATATCATAAAGTTTATGGAGGAGTTGACAGAATCCGAATCGAACTATAGATTGTCGCGAAGCTTTAAGGCCCGTTCACACTAGGGGCAACCCACGGGCGTCAAGCGCCTCACCGCCCCTCTGTGCAGCGTCTACGTGCGCGCTTCTCGTGGGCAACGAAACGATTGACGAGCTAGCGATTCACAGGCGCCCTGCCTCGTGCAACACAAGCGCGCGCTGCACTCACACTCAATAGTCAATACTGAGTAGTCGGCAGGCTGGGGTCTAGCGAGGTAGTTTGCATACGCTGGTCCTTCACTATGGCAATTAACGCCACCCTTGTTTGGACTCATTCTCTAGTAGAGAGGCTAATTGACTTTTGTAGAGACCATGAATGCCTATTGGGAGTTCAGTCAAAGGAGTCGAAATGCAAAAGAACAAGCTCTGGTGAAACTAGTTGAAGTTTTAATAAATTTTGTGTACAAGTCACTTGTGTACAAGTCACCATTGACGAGGTTCGCAAAAAAATTCATACGTTTCGCTCTCAATTCCATCGTGAAATGAATTTCATCGCAAATGAATTCCATTGCATATGAATTTCATCATCCTGCTTTTGGGTGAGCGGCATTATTTTATTTAACAGACTGTCAAACAAGTCCACTGGCAGTATAGTATAATTTTGAGAGTCTGATGCATTCGCAACTGACGATTCTTTGAAAATGTAATTGTGTGAGCCCCCTCTCTTCTTTGCAACCATTTTCCCCGCGACGCCTACATATTTTATTAATTATAGTTTTACTCGTCCTTGGGTTCAACATGCTATGGAGATTATTTGTTCAGTTATACAATCAGTTGCACGTATAAGGAGTAATAAGTTATACAAGAACTATAAATACGATAAAATTCGATTTCTTAAGGGGAGCATGTACCCCGAAATCCGAGAAATCACGTTTTCTGTGTTATTATATTTTTTTTTGTAGCGGAAACGATTACGAAGAAACTGCAATAAGGTAGCTTTCATAGTTTTTTCGTGAGATCGTTTTGAACTTTTATAAACTTGCAATTTATAACTGAATTTTATGTAGATTTCTTTGGATTTTGACCTGCATTTATAGACCATTATTCGTGTTAATTCCATAGTGTTTGCATTCGTTTGAGAGCTGCGAACTCGGAACGTTCAATAATGCAAACCCCATGAATGTTCTTGCGATATTTTTTGCGTTAAGTTGTTTGGAACTTGGCAAAAGTTTAAACTTATAACTAAATTATCATGCAGATTTTTTAACTTTTAATGTCCTTGTAGATAATTATTTTTGTTAATTGCATGGTGTTTGCATTCATTTGAAAGCTGCAAACGCTGCGCATTTGATAATCACTCGATATCTTTGAATCACTCGATATCATAGATTTGTAACCTGGTACAAATATACAATCTATGCGTCGGCTGGTATCACCGATCACGCGCGCCTGCATGCTCATTTAACGCCATTGCAGCACATATCTGCCATGTATTCGAACAAGTCGATTATATTTATAGATGTGCAAAATATATATAAATAAAAATGCAAAATAATGCAATGCATGTATTTGATTGTGTAAGCACAATCATCATATCTGTTAAAATCTGGCCACGAATATACACAGCCCAAATACCACAAGTGTTCGGTCAGCGATATTATGAGTACATGATTGCTCTTTCGCTTTCTTTGACTCACCATTTCAAGGCTTTCCCTAGCTTCAGCGGCAATTACAAACGAAGCGTCGTTGCTGGTGTATTGGTTCTTCTTGTCGTAAGCTGCAATAACTTCACTTTTTGACTCTGAGTGATAGCTGTTTAGAGGAGCAGCTACCAGAGATCTTCGCTGGGATTTTATTTTTGAATCAAATTTACTTCTGTAAATCTCATACGCTTTCTTGCTGGTCTCATCGATTTCGACACGCTCCATCACATGAAAAGGAAACGTTGTAAGTAAGTTGTTCTTGCAAACTTTAACAGTTGAAAGCTCTAGTAAAAACTTTATCTAAATATGGGTTATCTGAATAGTTCATCTTAAATTGACGCTAAGCATACGCCAAACCTCCAAATGTGCAGCACAATCTGGACCTCCATCCTACCTCGTCCATAGCCATGTTGTTGTTCTCCTCAACATAGGTCCTGAAGAGTTTTTCGATCTTCTGAAAAATAATATTGCTCATTATGATTGCAACATCATTTACTTCTTTCTGACAATTTTTTGGTCCACAGTAATTGAAGTATTTTAAAGTATCGTGGAAATTAAAGGGATATTATTCATGAGCGCACGTTCTGGCATTGCAATGCTACTCTCATAAAAACAATGAAACCTTGAATAGCTACAAATATATGGAAGAGTTAATGGACTTGATCGAACTAGATTGTCATGAAGCTTTTCGAGTTTAATTCTGTTCTAGATTGACAAGGCAATGGCATTATGCAGGTCAATGATGGCGTGCATAATGCCATTGTCATGAACTAGATTGTCATGAATCTTTTCACGCATAATTCTGCTGTAGTTTGGCATTGTAGAGGAAAATGATGTCGAGGCAATGGCATTATGGAAGTCAATGATGGCGAGAAGACAGCATTGTGGAGGTAAAAGATGACAATGTCGGAGCAGATAACCCAAGTAGACGGTGTGTTAGCAACAGAAGAATGAGGATCGTTACTGATACGCCTAAAATGCGAATAATAATTTCTGAATGTGCATTATTTTCACATTTTGGGTAATAAAAGCATATGAGCAAATAATTTTTTCAGTAAGGTTGTGCCAATATATGAGGCTTGAGATGGTGGTTCAGAGTTTAAATCCAATAATTATATCATCGATGCTTTTCGAGGTTTAACTATCACTTAACTATAACCAAGGCAAAAATATGAACAAACATGACAGTGATGCAATGTGTAAGATTTTTGTGAGTAGTTTCTGATGAGGATTGATGAGGTTAAAGTTTCACCATATTTTTCGTGGGCGGGCAGTTTTACTCGTGCTCGGGTTTAAAATGCTATTGAGATTATTTGATTTTGTTATACGATCAGTCGGACGCATGAGCGGTAATAAGTTACAAATACGATGGAATTCAATTTCTTAACTTATGAATGTTCAGCCTAACTATTCATCCCTCAATTGGAACTGTCGTGAATCTGGACGCGGATCTTGCCTACAGGCTTGCACGATGAAAATCAAGAGGAGCTTTCTATTCATCGAGTTCTTCAAAACAATAAGTAGCTTTACCAAAACCAATCAGCAATCAACCACAAATCGTTGATAAATTCAAATAATAAATAAAATGTGTTTGAGATCGGCTAAAATAACGTCAATAAGCATTGACGGTCGAAAGTCACATAATTATAGCTTAAATAACCGACGTTAGTGGTTGGACCGGTTATGCCTGATTCTGAAGATATTTAAGAACGATAATGAGTATTTAAAGTTCCAGTTCACATTCCCGTAGGCGAATTTTAGTAGTTACCGCTCTTTTTTGCTCAACGTAATGAATATTTATCTTCTAATTTTTTAGAAATGTGAATCCAGAACAATCTTGGAGCACAGTGATCACTATGCATGCAAGCTTCGCTCACATAGCGCGATGCTGCCCCTGGTGTATAGAAGCGGCATCTTATGACTTAATGATGACTTTAGAACTTCTTAGTCCAAGTTCACGTTGATGCGCTGCCTTTGTCATCCTCCATCTCCTATTCCGGATGTAACGTTGAACGTGTTCCGTCTATTTGCTCTCCTAGGGCCAACTGATGCATGATACTGTTGCTTGTCATGTGTTGAGGGTAGTTTTCATAACTGGATTATCCGGGATCTTTCTGAACCATTTGTGTAGTCGCCTCTTGAGTGTTGCAGGGGTGAACTTTTTTCCTCTCAGCACTTTTGGCTAGGCAGTAAACAGCTTCGGTCCTGCCACGGACAGTGTTCCCTCACAAAGAGTCTTCACTCTGGCCAGGGCTCGGTTACAAAATGTTGGAAACCTGCACAGTCTCCCCCTCTTTTCGTTGTAATAAGTCACTATTCTGGGGTCTCATTTTCAAAGTTGGGAGCCAGTCCGGTTGTTATCTTCCAAGTGCACAATATGATGTACCTCTTGCTTCTCTTCTCCAGCGAGTACAGTCCCAGGTGTTTTAAACTGTCCCAGTAGTTCAGCTCCAGCTCCCTTATACCGCTGATCCTGGACGTAAAGGTCTGATGGACTGACTCCAGTTTCCGCACCTTGAGCGACGCCCAAAGCTGGCAGCAGTATTCAAGATTGGGGAGCACGAGTGCTCTGAAGAGTGTAATCATTGGTGCAGTTTCTCTCGCTCGATATGTTCTCCAGATTCATTCCGCTCGATATGTTCTCCCGTTGTTTGATTCGCGCGACTATTTCCTCGATGTGGTCATCGAATATGGCTTTGGTACTCATTAACACTCAGAGGTTTTGAAGTAGTTGCTTCTCCTCAATTTCTGTGCCATCTGATGCCGATTAGCGATGTTTCAACCCGGTCTCCGTGCCAACTCTGTATCTCATCACTTCGAACTTGGTGCCGTTGCATTGCATGTTATTCACTAGGGCCCAATCGTAGATTGTCGACAGGTCAACCTGTAACCTCTCGTAGTATAGGTCATCTCTGATCCTCTTCAGTACTCTTGCGTCGTCCGTAGATGACGATACAGATAGGTGGGTAAGTTCTGAGTCAATGTCGGCGATGTGGTCCCAGAAGAGGATCGACCGAAGCACAGAGCGCATGTGGCACTCCGCTTTTAACCCTCGGTTCTTTTGATATCGAGTCTCCAATTGCGACAGCTTGGACTCTTTCTGTAAGGAAGTTGTGTATCCATTCTAACAGGCTTCCTCATACCTCCAGCAGCCTCAGCTTCCTAAAGAGCACCCCATGGTCAACTTTGTCAAAAGCTTAAAGCAAAGCCCAGGTAAACCTCGTCTACGCCAGCTCCCTCCTCCAGTAGGGCCACTAGTCGGTGATGGTGCTCTAGTAACTGTGACAAAAAGAAACGGTTTCGTTGGAACCCATGTTGCCCATTATTAAATAATCCAGCCTCTTACATATACTGCACGAGCTTCCTGCCTGACCACTACCTTCTCGAAAACCTTGATCACCTGCGAGTTCAAGGCCACAGGTCTGGTATTTTGGGGTCTGTCGCTCCTACCTCTTTTGTGAATTGGCGTTAGCAGTCCTATTTTGAGGCCCTCAGGAATAATTCCCTCCATCATCTATATAGGCTTTCCAGAGCATAGTGTTGTGAGTGGTGCTTTCAGTGCTCTATAACACAATTTTTCAACAGCACTACCGGAATTCCATCGGGTCCTGGTGCTAAAAGCGTCGCCAGTTCTTTGATACTTATTTTTAAATCTTCTGCTCCAAACTCGATGTTCTCCAACCCCCTTCCGCCTGGAAACTCTTGGAGAACTTCGATTTCATTCTCCTGTCTTGAGTAGCGGAGGTTGCTGTTCACTGCTTCACACTGCGATCCCAGTAACTCACACATGCCCTGGTCATCTTCGACATGGACCTCGTTATCCTTCCGCAGGCCATCTTGCGTCTTTATTTTAGCCTTGGACTTGGCGTATTTGAAAAAAAAATACTTTTGGTTCTCTGATGACCTCAATTACTCGCTCCTCAGCAGCTTGTTCTTCCATGCTGTGCGAGTCCTGCAACTCGAGTTCAGTTTCCTGGTGCAAGTCAACTAGTCTCGCTCTCCTCAGACTACTAGTTGATTAAGCTATTTGTCTATTTAATTGCGCGCGTTTTCTCATGAGAATTCGTCGGTCTCCCGGAATGTTGCGGACTTTAGGGCCTGATTCTTTTGGGGTATGACGCTCACACGCACACCTGTGCTAGTTTCTCACATAGTTTTGTGTAAATTTCATCTGCATTATTCTCGAGAAACTCTTCTCTCCAATCGATTTCGTTAAGTTCTTTCCAAATTGCCTCCTATTGCGTTCTTATAGAGTGTGGAAGTTTATCTAAATATGGTTCCAGTTCTCTTGGTGTATATACCTGGGTTGGGTTTCAATTCCAATTGTCGTATCCACCATCATCAGGCGGGGGTCGGACAGTGAGGTCTCATCAACCCTAACGTCACCACCATTCTTTCATTAGTAGTAAAGAAGACATTGAGGATATTGTGTTCTCTTGTCGGCAGCCGTACTGCTGACTGAGCTACTGTTCTGCAGCAAATAGGCCCAGTGGTAAAAAAACAAAAAAGGGTGGCCCAGTGGTTAAAGTTCAGAGTACCAAGATTTGAGCAGAGAGGTGCGGGTTCCATCCCAGCTCTATGCGCCAGTTTCTGGTCAGAATCGGCAAGGAGGCCGGGCGGTTAAGCAAAGCAAAATTGAAGCAGTGAGTTTCGCGTTCGAGACCGCAACAAGCCGCGAATATTTGGCGATGTTAAGAATCGGCGACAGCCCTACGGCCTAATAAACGCTGAAACCGCTACTATTATTATATTATTATTATAAACTTCACTCCTTAAGCTTCTTGACTTCTGTCACAGTCATCAATCTCTATATAAGCCGCCAGGGTTTGCCCAACGGATGCTGGGGAGATTGAAGCCCCCCGTTATCAGGCTGGAGGCTGGATCACCCAGTTCAGCCACCCTGGTCTCTATTTCCTTAATAGATTGTATCTCAATGTATTAAATCCCTGGAACAGACTTAGAATTAAATCATTTACTTTCCCGTTTCCTCAGAACGCATTTTGCCCAAGACGGTGAAACTAATGCTGTACTGTTATGATAGTATGAGCTTCAGTACTATTAAATTACTGAACTAATATTTTATGTAAAATTTTAAAAAAATATCAAACTTGTGATGATCTGAATATCGCCAAACTTGTAATGATTTGCATTTCATCTTACTTGTAATGATCTGTATTCTCTTTTCGGCCGTTCAATAGTGAAATTATAGTACGAATGGAACTTTTCGTCTACTACTCGACATTGATGTTTGATCGTCGCGTTTTTCGCCCGGCTCCCACAGACGTTAATCGCTCCTGGATTACAAATCCATGTACATCGTGGATTATGAACCTTTTGATCTAATGACATAATAGATTACAAATTGTCTGACATCATGGATTACAAATCGCCTTATATCATAGATTAAACACCGTTAGACATAATTGATCAAATATCTTTGAATAACTCGATATCATGGATTTGAAACCATGTATATAAAATTTATGCGTCGGTTGGTTTCACCAATCACGCGCACCTGCATGCCCATTTAACGCCATTGCAGCACATATTTGCCACATATGCATATAAAACGATAATATTTATTGATAGAAATTAATACCGCTGTGCACCCCGCCTAATATGGTAATGCATGCATTCGATTGTGCAAGCACAATCATCATATCTGTCCACAATCTGGCCGCGAATATGCGCAGCCCAAATACTCATAGTGTTCAGTCAGCGATATTATGAGTACATGATCGCACTTTCGCTATCTTTTACTCACCATTTCGAGGATTTCCCTAGCTTCAGCTGCAATTGCGAACGAAGCGTTGATCCTGGTGTATTGGTTTATCTTGTCGTAAGTTGCAATAGCTTCGCATTTTGACTCTGAATGATAGCTGTTTAGAAGAGAACCTTCAAGAGATCTTCGCTGGGATTTGATTTTTGAATCAAATTTACTTCTGTAAATCTCATACGCCTTCTTGCTGGTCTCATCGATTTCGACACGCTCCATCACATGAAAAGGAAACGTTGTAAGTAAGTTGTTCTCGCAAACTTTAACAGATGAAAGCTCCCGTGAAATGTTTATCTGAATAAGGTATATATGAACAGTACATGTTAAGTTGAGGTTTCATTAACGACCAGAAAGTACGTCTTATTGACAGTTTACTTACTATTTTTCTCTATTCGGCGAATTAGGCTTTTGATAGGAATTGAAAACTCAAATATCAGGTCTCCAAGGGACATTTTATTATAATTTACGCCGATTCGAATGCAACTTCATTCATTATCAAGTAGGGGAAGAGTTTTGCAACACTTGAATTTGAAATTTTGTAATGACGTTAGTACAAACATAGGGTATTATGGATATAAACTGAAATAAAGCTTGAATTACGTGAAGAGTTTCAATGTCCTGACAAATTACTAAGCTCATCCCCTACTTGATAATGATAGAAGTTGCATTCGAACCGTCGTAAATTATAATAAAATGTCCCTTGTAAACCTGTTTGAGTTTTTAATTCCCATAAAAAGCCTAATTTGCCGAATAGACAAGAACAACACGGAAATTTTCAATAATAAATATTCTCTGGTCTTCAATGAAACCTGCAATAAAGAACAACTTCTGCCAATCTACACCAATCGTAAATTGAGGCAAAGCATCCGCCAAACCTCCAAATGTGCTGTACAATCACGCAGGACCTCAATCCTACCTCGGCCATCGCCATGTTGTTGTTCTTCTCAACATAGGTCCTGAAGAGTTCTTCAATCTTCTGAAAAAATTTTTGCTCATTATGATTGCAACTTTATTCACTTCCTTCGTTTTATTTTTTAGTCCACAGTAATTGCAGTATTTTGAAATATCGTGAAAACTAAAGGGTTATTATTCACGAGCACATGTTCTGGCATTGCAATGCTTCTCTCCTAAAAATAATGGAATTTTGGATGGCTTAAAATATATGGAAGAGAAGATAGACTCCTAAACGAACTAGATTATCGTGAAGCTTTTCACGTATAATTCTGCTATAGTTTGGCATTGTAGAGGAAAATGATGTCGAGGCAACGGTATTATGGAAGTCAATGATGGCGATGAGACAGCATTGTGGAGGTAAAGGATGACAATGTCGGAGTAGATATAACCCAAGTAGACGGTGTGTTAGCAACAGAAGAATGAGGATCGTTACTGATACGCCTAAAAAGTAAATAATAATTTCCGAATGTGCATTATTTTAATATTTTTCGTAATAACAACATAAACATGGGAGCAAATAATTTTTTCAGTGCTTTCACAAAAATTTTTCAAAAAATAATAATAATTATTTTAATAATATAATTAGAGCAAATAATTTTTTCAGAAGGGAAAAGAAGGTGGTTCAGAATGCGAATCCAAAAATTATATCAATGTTGCTTTCCGAGCTTTAACCATCACTTAACCATAACCAAGGAAAAAACATGGACAATCACAACAATGATGCAATGTGTAAGATTTTTGTGAGTAGTTTTAGATGATGATTGATGAGACTCAAGTTTCATCATATATCATCTGGACTCATCCTCGTTTAACATGACATGGAAAGTTAACTCATCCTCGGATTTAACATGCCATGGAGATTATTCGGTTCAGTTATACTATCAGCTGCACGTATGAGCAGTAATAAGTTAAAAATGCGATGAAATTTGATTTTGTAACGTAAAATGTTCAGCCCTACTACTCATCACTCAATTGGAATTGTTGTGAATCTGGACGTGGAGCTTGCATGCAGGCTGGCACGATGAAAGCCACAGGAAGCTTTTTTTTTCATCGAGTTCTTCGAAACAATAAGTGGTTTTATCGAAACCAATCAGCGATCAACGACAATTAGTTAATAAATCTAATTAAATTAGTATAGGTTGGCTGAATTTGTTCCTTTGAGGCAGGTTTCATTAAAGACCAGAGAATTTGTTTTGGCGACGATTTTCTTATTAGTTTTTTTCAACATATCGAACAATATTTTTCGTTTGGACAGGTAAATCTAAAATCAGGGTACCGATGGACATTTTTATTTCTCATATGATGGACATTTTATTCTGCTCATCTGAAAGTACTTGATTTTCAATTTCGCAAAGATTGTAGTACTATCTTTTGCTGAGTACTATTTGTGCGAAATCGAAAATCAAGTACTTTTAGATGAGCAGATCAAGCCCGAATTGTACTGCAGGTATGTCGATGATATATTTGTTGTTCGAGATGAAGAACTGAGGAACCTATGAATGGCCTTCGAAATGAATTCTGTCTTGAAGTTTACCTACGAGCTCGGAGACAACCGCCTTTTTTAGATATAGTCGTCCAAGCTAAAAATAATTCGTTCGTCGCCAAAGTATGCCGGAAACCCACAGAAGTCGGGAGAGTCCTGAACGCCGCCTGCGAATGCCCAGAGCGCTACAAAAGAAGCGCAATACGTGCTCTCATCCAACGAGCTCTCAAAACCTGCTCGTCTGAAAATGACTTAAATACGGAGCTGAGAAATTGCACAAGAATCTAAGTCAAGAATGGATTTGCCAACAGAACAATCGACGCAGAAATCTCAAAACTTCGATCGAACCAATACAGTCGCAACAACGAACCAGAGACTGACGCAAACGTCACAACCATCTACTACGAGAATCAAATGACCAGCGGTTATATAGCAGATGAACGAATCCTCCAATCCATCGTTCACAACAACATCGTGAACACAACTAACAATAAAATCAAACTACTGATCTATTATAAAAACAAGAAAATGCAGAATCTCGTAATGAACAATAACCCCTGCAAAAAACGGGAGTTTTCCAAAAGACCAATGTAGTCTATAAATTTTCTTGCAATAGAGAAGGTTGTAGACTTCTCCCTATAATATGGACTACATCGGACTCACAACTACGACATTAAGCCAACGTCTTGTCACCTTCAGTCTGGTGGACCAAGGAACCACCTGATAGAAGCCCACAACGAGACCATCACTCGTACGGTGCTGGAAGAATGCACCAGCGTCGTCATGCGAAGCCCCGACGCCAACCGACTCGCGATAGCTGAAGCCCTCATCATTAAGGATAGGACCCCAGCCATCAACCTACAAGCTACTGGATTTGTCAGAACCTTGAGACTGTTTTCGGAGTAATTTTTGCTGTTTTGATTTTTGTTCATCTTGATATTTTTGTGACAAGGCATTATTTCTACCCAATTTTGTTTTTTAGTAGTATCCTATTTACATGCTTTTGTATTTATGTCGACAAAAATTTCGTAACTCAATGCGCTTTTTACCTTGATAATGAATGATTGAAATATTCGAAACGTCGTCAACGAAATAAAAATGTCCATAGGTACCCTGATTTTCGATTTACCTGTGCAAACGAAAAATATTGTTTGATATGTTGAAAAAACTAATAAGAAAATCGTCAATAAAACAAATTCTCTGGTCTTTAATGGAACCTGCCCAAATCTAAGTAATTGAATAAATGCGTTTGAGAGCGGCTAAAATAAGGTCAAATAAGCATTGACGTTCAAAATTCACACAATTATAGTGCAGTTAAACGACGTTAATTGGTGGTTAGACCGGTCATGCGTGATGCTGAAGCTATTTAAGAACGATCATGAGTATTTAAAGATTAAGGTTGCGTGGTCACATCCTCGTAGGCAAATTTTAGTAGTTACCGCTCTTATTTCTTCAACTTGATGAATATTTATCTTCTACTTTTTTTAGAAATGTGAATCCAGAACAATCTTGCATCACAGTGATCACTATATATTCAAGCTTCGCTCACATAGCGTTATGCTGCCGCGGGTGTATGGATGTGGCATCTGTGTACTTTCTCATATTCATTACACACATTGTAACATACACTAGATTATGCTTGGTCATTCGAAACTGCCAAATTCTACCATCTACATTATCACGACAAAGTTGTCATTTTTCCTATAAAGATTGAGTATCATAAAATTGCAATCATATAGTTAATCACCTATTTTTTATTACTGTCGGTGAAAACTTACCGGTAATTCTACTTAGATTGTATCTCATTGTTTAAATACCAGAAGCAAACATAGAATTAAATCATTTACTTTCCCGTTGCCTCAGAACGCATTTGGCCCAATACGTTGAAACTAATGCTGAACCGTTATGATAGTATGAGCTTCAGTATTAAGTCCATGCACCAACATTTTATGTAAAAATTCTGAAGAAGTATTAAACTTGTAATGATCTGCATTCCATCTTATTGGAATGATCTGTATTCTCCTCTTGGCCGTTCAATATTTAGTTTATGGTACGAATTGGACATTTCGTCTTCTATTCGACATTTATGTTCGATCCTCGCGTTTTTCGCCCAGCTCTCAAAGGGCGTAGAATGCTCATGGATTACTAATCTATGTACATTATCTATTACAAACCCTTGAATCTAATGACATCGTAGATTATAAATTGTCTGACATCTTGGATTATAAATCGCCTGATATCATTAATTATACACCGTCGGACATCGTGGATTACATATCTTTGAATTTGAATATCATAGATTTGATATCAGGTATATTAAATTTATGCGTCAGCTGGTATCACCGATCACGCGCGCCTGCATGCTCATTTAACGTCATTGCAGCACATATCTGCCACCTATTCGGACAAATCGGTAATATTTATTGATAGAAATTATCACCGCAGCGCACCCTGCGTAATAAGGCAATGCATGCATTTGGTTGTGCAAGCACAATCATCATATCTGTCCACAATCTGGCTGCAAATATATACTGCCCAAATACTGAGAGTGTTCGGTCAGCGATATCATGAGTACATGATTGCAATTTCGCTGGCGTTTACTCACCTTTTCAAGGCGGTTTCTAACTTCGGCAGCAATTACAAACGAAGCGTCGTTTCTGGTATATTGGATTTTGTTGTCGTAGGCTGCAATAGCTTCGCTTTTTAACTCTAAATGATAGCTGTTTAGTAGAGAATCTTCAAAAGATCTTCGCTGGGAGATTTTTGAATTCATTTTACTTTTGTAAATCTCATACGCCTTCTTAATTGCTGGTCTCATCGATTTCGACACGCTCCATCACATGAGAAAGAAATGTTATAAGCAAGTTGTTCTCACAAAATATAAAAGTTGAAAACTCATGTAGAATGTTTATCTGAATATGGTATATCTAAATAGTTCATCTTAAATTGAGGCTTAACATCAGCCAAACCTCCAAGTGTGCAGCACTATCAGGACCTCAACCCTACCTCGTCCATCGCCATGTTGTTGTTCTCCTCAACATAGGTTCCGAAGATTTCTTCAATTTTCTGAAAAAGATGTGGCTCATTATGATTGCAACCTCATTCACTTCTTTCGGTCAAATTTTTAGTCCACAGTTATTGAAGTATTTTGCAATATCATGAAAATGAAAGGGTTATTATTGATGAGCACACGTTCAGGCACTACAATGCTACTCGCATAAAAACAATGAAACCTTAGAGAGCTACAAATATATGGAAGAGTTAATAGACTCCTAATCGAACTAGATTTTCATGAAGCTTTTCACGCATAATTCTGCTATGGTTTGGCATTGTAGAGGAAAATGATGTCGAGGCAACGGTATTGTGGAGGTCAATGATGGCGAGAAGACAGCATTGTGGAGGTAAAGTTTGACCATGTCGGAGCAGATAACCCAAGTAGACTGTATGTTAATACTAAAAAATGGGGCCGTTACTGGGACACTTACAATGCAAGTAATAATTTCTGTATGTGCATTATTTTCATATATATGGTAATAGCAATATAAGCATGGGAGCAAATGATTTTTCAGTGCTATTGTGCCAGTATATGAAGCGGGAAAAGAAGGTGGTTCGGAGTTTGAATCCAGTAATTATATTATCATTGCTTTTCGAGGTTCGGTCAGCGATAATAACTATATTATCAGAAATATTATAAGCGTTCGGTCAGCGATATTATGAGTACATGATTGCACTGTCGCCGGCTTTTACTCACCTTTTCAAGGCTTTCCCTAGCTTCAGCGGCAATTACAAACGAAGCGTCGTCTCTGGTGTATTGGTTTATCTTGTCGTAAGCTGCAATAGCTTCGCATTTTGACTCTAAGTGACAGCTGTTCAGAAGAGAATCTTCAAGAGATCTTCGTTGGGATTCGATTTTTGAATCCATTTTACTTCTGTTAAGCTCATATGCCTTCCTGCTGGTCTCATCGATTTCGACACGCTCCATTGCATGAAAAGAAAATGTTGTAAGTAAATTTTTCTCACAAACTTTAACAGTTGATTGCTCGCGTAAAATGTTTATTTAAACATGGTTTATTTGAATAGTTCATCTTAAGTTGAGGTTAAACATCTGACAAACCTCCAAGTGTGCAGTACAATCTGGACCTCCATCCTACCTCATCCATCGCCATGTTGTTGTTCTCCTCAGCATAGGTCCCGAAGAGTTCTTCAATCATCTAAAAAAAAATGTTTCTCATTATGAAAGCTACTTCATTCACTACCAGCGGTTAATTATTTTAATCCATAGTTATTGAAGTATTTTGAGATATCGCGAAACTAAAGCGTTATTATTCATGAGCGTTTTCATGTTAAGGCGTTGCAATGCTACTCTCGTAAAAACAATTAAACCGTAGATAGCCAAAAATATATGAAAGAACTGACAGATTGTCATGAAGCTCTGCAGGTTTGGTTCTGCTGTTGATTGGCATTTTAGAGGTAAAAAATGGTTAAGCAATTGCATTATGGAGGTCAATGATGGCGAGGAGACAAGCATTTTGGAGGTAAAGGATGACAATTTCGGAGTATAGATAACCCGAGTATATAGACGGTGTGTTAGCAGCAAAAGAATATGGGTCTTGTCTTGACATTGTGGGAGTGGTTAACTTAAGTTTCCGTGCTTTTCAGCCAGATTCTCTACTGCCATTTGTTGCAAAAATTCGCTCTCTTTAAAGGGGTAGTATCCTTCTTAACGAAGACTGAATTAAACTCTGGGAATTCACTTAGTTTTCTCGCAGCCTTATTTAAGAACATGTCCGATCTGAGCTGTATCCTGCGCATTCACCATCAGCGGTCTCCAGGTGGTAGCATTTTTCGATCGCAGCCTCTTGCATGCCGTTATATCTACAACGACGTTAAGTGCCTCGGCACAACAATCGGTAGTAAACGCAGTGTCATCAGTTACTCTCACACTCGTCTCCGAAGCATTGCTTTCGTAAACGCCAAACCAAACAAACATAGCGTTATATGCTGCCGCGGGTATATGGATGTGGCATCTGTGTACTCTCTCATGTTCATTTCACACATAGTATCATGTACTAGGTCATGCTTGGTCATTTGAAACTGCCTAATTCTTTCATCTACATTACCTCGAAAAAGTTATCATTTTTCTTTTAATGATTTAGTATCATAAATTCCAATCACAGTTAATCACTTATTTTTCATGGATGTCGATGATAAATTACCAATGATTTAAGCTGGTTGTATCTTAATGTTTAAATCAAAGAAGGAAACCTTAGAATTAAATCATTTACTTCCCTGTGACCTCAGAACGCTTATTTTTGCCCAAGACGTTGAAACTAATGCTAAACTGTTATAATAGTGTGAGCTTATGCGTGTTATGTCCACGCACTAACATTTCATGTAAAAATTCTGGTAAAGTATTAAACTTGTCATGATCTTCATTCCGTCTAACTATATAGCAATGATCTGCATTCTCTTCTTGACCGTTCAATAGTTGAATTATAGTACCAATTGGACCTTTCGTCTTCTGCTCTACATTGACGTTTGATCGTCACATTTTTCGCCAGCTCTCAAAATACTTGAATCTCTCTTGGGTTACAAATCCATGTACATCATGAATTATAAACTCTTGAATCTATTGAAATCATATATTACAAATTTTCTGTCGTCACGGATTGCAAATTGCCTGACATCATGTATTTCATACCGTTGTGCATCATGGAATACATATCTTTGAATCACTCGATATCATGGATTTGTAACTTGGTATATACAATTTATGCGTCAGCAGGTATCACCGATCACGCGCGCCTGCATGCTCATTTAACGCCATTGCAGTACATATCTGGCACATATCCAAACAAATTGATAATATTTATTGATAGAAATTATTGCCTCTGAGCTCTATGCCTAATACGGCAATGCATGTATTTAATTCGACAAGCACAATCATCATAACTGTCCACAATATGCCCGAGAATATACACAGCCCTATTACTCATAGAGTTCGGTCAGCGATGTTGTGAATACATGATTGCACTTTCGCTGGCGTTGACTCACCCTTTCAAGGCGTTCCCTAGCTTCAGCTGCAATCGCAAACGAAGCGTTGTTTCTGGTGTATTGGTCTTTCTTCTCGTAAGCTGCAATAGCTTCTCTTTTTGACTCTGAGTGACAGTGGTTTAGAAGAGAATCTTCAAGAGATCTTCGCTGGGGTTCGATTTTTGAATCCATTTTACTTTTGTAATGCTCATATGCCCTCTTGCTGGTCTCATCGATTTCGAAGCGCTCCATCACATGAAAAGGAAATGTTGTATGTAAGTTGTTCTCGCGAAGTTTAACAGTACAAAGCTCTCGTAAAATGTTTATCTGAATATGGTATATCTGAATGGCTCATCTCAAATAGAGGCTAAACATCCGCCAAACTTCCTACTGTGCAGTAAAATTTATACTTCCACCCTACCTCGTCCATCGCCATGTTGTTGTTCTCCTCAACATAGGTCCCGAAGAGTTCTTCAATATTCTGAAAATATGTTGGTATTATGATTGCAGTTTATTCAATCCCTTCGGTCAATTTTTTGAGGTTTAACCATCACTCAACTATAATCCAGGAAAAAATATGGATGATCACGACAGTGATGCCATGAGTAAGATTTTTGTGAGTAATTTTTGATGATGATTGTTGAGACTCAAGTTTTACCATATTCCTTTTGACAAGCAGTTTAATTCGTCCACGGGTTTAACTTGCTTTGGGGATTATTTGGTTCAATTATACGATCAGTTGCACGTATAAGCAGTAAGGAGTTAAAAATACGTTGGAATTTCGATTTCTTAACATAAAAATGTTCAGCCCTACTACTCATCACTCAATTAGAACTGTTGTAAATCTGGACGTTGACCTTGCATGCAGGCTTGCACGATGAAAACAACAGGAATTAAGCTTTCTTTTCATCGAGTTCTTCAAAATAATAAGTAGCTTTACCAAAACCAATCAGCGATTAACCGCAAATCGTTGATGAATTTAAGTAACTAACTAAATGCGTTTGAGCATAACTAAAGTAACGTCGACAGGCATTGACGGTCGAAATTCACACAATAGTTAAATGACATTGGTAGTTAACCGGTTATGCGTGATTCTGAAGAAATTTAACCCTCTACCGCCGTACGTCACTCTCCACGAACATAATTTTCAACGTAAATTATACGTAAACTATTGAGTGTAGCGGCCTGATGACGTTTATACGCAACAGAGAACATTTTAAAGTTGTCGTACTTGGCAGTAACCATCAGTGCGTCATTTTGCCCTCACTAGAACGTATCCTTTTTGGAAAGAAGGCTTGTGACAATATTTCACCGGTTACTCGTGTCAGGCGGTAGAGGGTTAAGAACGATCATGAGTATTTTAAGATTCAATAGCGTGTTCACATCCCCGTAGACAGATTTTAGTATAGTGCTCCTTTCTGCTCAACTTGACGAATATTTATCATCTACTTTTTTAGAAATGTGAATCCAGAACAACCCTGCAGCACAATGATCACTATATATTCAAGCTTCGCTCACATAGCGTTATGCTGCCGCAGGTGTACGGATGTGGCATCTGTGTACTCTTTCACGTTTGTTTCACACGTTGTAACATGTACTAGATCATGCTTGATCATTTGAAACAGTCAAATTCTTCCAACTACATTATCTCGACAAAGTTACAATTTTTTCTCATAATGATTAAGTATCATAAATTCTAATCACAGTTAATCGCTTATTTTTCAAGAATGTCGATGATAAATTACCAATTATCCAAACTAGATTGTACCCCAATATTTAAATCTCAGAAGCAAACTTAGAATTTAATAATTTACTTTCCCGTTACCTCTGAACGTTTTTTGACAAGACGGCGAAACTAATGCTGAACTGGTATGATAGTATGAGCTTCATTATTAAATCCCCGAACTACTATTTTATGTAAAAATCTGAAGAGATATTAAACTTGCACTGATCTGCCTTCCATCTAATTTGTAATGATCTGCATTCTCTTCGTGGCCGTTCAATATTTAAATTATAGTACCAATTGAACCTTTCATCTTCTGCTCGACATTGACGTTTGATCTTCGCGTTTTTCGCCAGCTCTCAAAAATTAAGGACTTGAATCTCTCCTGGATTAAAAAGCCGTGAACATCATTGATTATAAACCCTTAAGGGGAGCGTCTACCCTAAAATTGAAAATTTTCACTTTTTCGGTTTTTATATCCAGAAACGTTTAGTTTGGTATCTATGCTACATTGAGCGCCTATTGCAGTGCGCTCGGTACTTTGTCGCTCTCTCCTCAACATTCACACTTTTTGTCACGGAAAACCTATCTCCTCCTAGAGTTTTGAAGCTACAACAATGAGACATATATCAATCAATTTGCAAATAAACTATCTACAAAATGTTCATCCCGGTTTTTCTAGTTTCATTATAGTTTGAATTTTATTCGGCAAAAAGAGGGGGGTGGCGGGGGGAAAATCGAAAAATTTCCGAACATTTTGGAAAAATGTCCTCACTTCCACAAAAATTGGAATTTCAAAAAAAAGGGGATGAACATTTTGTAGATGAAGACCTCACGCATCGAATGATATGTGTTTCAATGTTGTAGCTTGAAAATCCTAGGACTAGATCCATTTCTACAGTACCCCCTTTTATAGCCGTTTTCTAAGAATTTCACGTTTCGTTTTCTTTCATTTTTTTCGAAAAATTCACACGAACAAAATGCAAGTTTTTTTCCATTTGACATATGTGTACCAAGTTTCAGAGTGATTCGACTGTAAATAGCCGAGATAATTTTTAGGGTAGACGCTCCCCTTAAATCTAATAACACCATAGATCGCCAATTGTCTGGCATCGCGGATTACAAATCGCCTGACATCATCGATTACACATCTTTGAATCACTCGATATCATGGAGTTGTAACCTGGTATATAAAATTTATGCATCGGCTGGTATCACCGATCACGCGCGCCTGCATGCTCACTTAACGCCATTGCAGCACATATCTGCCACCTATTCGAACAAATCAATTATACATATTGATAGAAATTATCGTAGCTGCGCTCCATGCCTAATAAGGCAATGCATGCACTTGATTGTGTAAGCACAATCATCATATCTGTCCGTAATCTGGCCGCGAATATACACAGTCCAAATACTAAAAGTGTTCGGTCAGCGAAATTATGTGTACATGATTGTACTTTCGCTGTCTTTGACTCACCCTTTCAAGGCTTTTCCTAACTTCGGCTGCAGTGGCAAACGAAGCGTCGTTTCTGGTGTATTGGATTTTCTTGTCGTAAGCTGCAATAGCTTCGCTTTTTGACACTGAATGATAGCTGGTTAGAAGAGAATCTTCAAGAGATCTTCGCTGGGATTCGATTTTCGAATCCATTTTATTTTTGTAAAACTCATATGCCTTCTTGCTGGTCTCATTGATTTCGACGCGCTCCATCACATGAAAAGGAAATGTTGTATGTAAGTTGTTCTAGCAAACTTTAACAGTTGAAAGCTCTCGTAAAATGTTTATTTAAATATGATTTATTTGAATAATTGTTCATTTTAAATTGAGGCAAAACTACCGCCAAACCACCGAAACTGCAGAACAAGCTGGACCTCCATCCTACCTCGTTCATCGCCAAGTTGTTGTTCTCCTCAGCATAGATCCCGAAGAGTTCTTCAATTTTCTGAAGAAAAAATTTTTGCCCATTATGATTGCTACTTCATTCACTTCCTTCTGTCAATTTTTCAGTCCATAGTTTTTGAAGTATTTTGAAATATCGCGAAAACAAAAAAGTATATATCATTCCCGAGCACACGTTCTGGCATTGCAATGCTACCCTCATGAAAACAATGAAGCCTTAGATAGTTACAAATATATGGTAGAGTTAATACATCCCTAATCGAAATAGATTATCATGAAGCTTTTCACGCATAATTCTGCTGTAGTTTGGCATTGTTGAGGAAAATGATGTCGAGGCAACGGCATTGTGGAGGTCAATGATGACAATGTCGCAGCAGATAGCCCAAGTAGACGGTGTGTTAGCAACAGAAGAATGAGGGCGGTACTGATACCCCTAAAATGTAAATAATAATTTCTGAATGTGCAATATTTTAATGTTTTTGGTATTAACAATACAAGCCTGTGAGCAAATAATTTTTTTCAGTGCGGCTGTGCCAATATGAGGCGGGAGAAGAAGGTGGTTCAGAGTTTGAATCCAATAATTATATCATCGTTGCTTTCGAGGTCTAATCATCACTTAACTATAACCCAGGCAAAAATGTGGACAATCACGACAGTGATGCCATCAGTAAGATTTTTATGAGTAATTTTTTATCATGATTCATTAGCCTTAAATTTCATCATATTTCTTGGGCAGGTATTTTAATTTGTTCTCGGGTTTAAATTGCTATGGAGCTTATTTGGTTCAGATAAACAATAAATTGCATGTGTAAGCATAAATAAGTTATAAATACGATGAAATTCCTTTTCTCAACGCAAAAATGTTCAGCCCTACAACTCATCCCTCAATTGGAACTGTCGTGAATCTGGACGTGGACCTTGCATGCAGGCTTGCGCGACGAAAACCACAGGAAGCTTTCTTTCCGTCGAGTTCTTCAAAACAATAAGTGATTTTACCAAAACCAATCAGCGATCAACCACAAATTGTTGATGAATCAAAATATGTTACTGAATGTGTTTGGGAGCTAATAAAATAACGTCGGCAAGCGTCGGCGGTCTAAATTCACACAATTATAGTGTAGTTATATATAGAATATTTATCTTCTAGTGTAGTTAAACGACGGTGGTGTAGAGGGGTTATGCGTGATGCTGAAGATATTTAAGAACGATCATGAGCATTTAAAGGTTCAGTTGCGTGGTCACATCCTCGCAGGCAAGTTTTAGTTGTCACCGCTCTTTTTTGCTCAACTTGATGAATATTTATCTTCTACTTTTTCAGAAATGCGAGTCCAGAACATCCTTGCAGCACAGTGATCCCTATATATTCAAGCTTCACTCACATAGCTTTATGCTGCCGCGGGTGTATGGATGTGGATTCTTTGTACTTTCTCATGTTCGTTTCACTAATTGTGACATGTACTAGATCATGCTTGGTCATTTGAAACTGTTAAATTCCTCAATCTCTCGGAGGGGTAATTTTTCCTATAATGATTGAGAATCGTAAAATTCCAATCACAGTTAATCACCTATTTTTATGGATGTCGATGAAAAATTACCAATGATTTTAACTAGATCGTATCTCAATGTTTAAATCCCTGAAGCCAACTTAGACTTAAATCATTTACTTTCCGGTTACCTCTGAACGCATTTTGCCCACGACGGTGAAACTATAGCTGAACAGTAATGACAGTATGAGCTTCAATATTATGTCCCCGTACTAACATTTTACGTACAAATTCTAAAGCAGTCATGAACTTATATTGATCTACATACCATTAAAATTTTAATGATCTGTATTCTCTTCTTGGCCATTCAATATTTAAACTATAGAACGAATTGTACCTTACGTCTTCTACTCGCCATCGATGTTTGATCGCCGTGTTTATCGCCCAGCTCACACAAGACGTGAATCGCTCATGGATTACAAATCCATGTATATCAAGGATTAAAAACTCTTTAATCTTATGACATCATAGATTACAAATTGTCTGACATCATGGATTACAAGTCTTTGAATCACTCAATATCATGGATTTGTAACCTGGTATATACAATTTATGCGTCGGCTGGTATCACCGATCACGCGCGCCTGCATGCTCAGATTTGACGCCATTGCAGCACATATCTGCCACCTATTCAAACGTATCGATAATATTTATTGATAGAAATAATTGCCTCTTCACTCCATGCCTAATATGCCAATGCATGCATATGATTCTGTAACAACAAACATCATATCTGACCACACTCTGGCCGCGAATGTACACAGTCCAAATACTAAGAGTGTTCGGTCAGTGATGTTATGAGTACGTTATTGTAGTACTTTCGCTGCCTGTGACTCACCCTTTCAAGGCGTTTCCTAACTTCGGCTGCAGTTGCAAACGAAGCGTCGTTTCTGGTGTATTGGATTTTCTTGTCGTAAGCTGCAATAGCTTCGCTTTTTGACACTGAGTTATAACTGGTTAGAAAAGAATCTTCCANAAGCGTCGTTTCTGGTGTATTGGATTTTCTTGTCGTAAGCTGCAATAGCTTCGCTTTTTGACACTGAGTTATAACTGTTTAGATAAGAATCTTCCAGAGAATTTCGCTGGGATTTGATTTTTGAATCCAATTTACTTCTGTAAAGCTCGTATGCCTTCTTGCTGGTATCTTCGATTTCGACACGCTCCATCACATGAAAAGGAAATGTTGTTAGTAAGTTGTTCTCTCCAACTTTAACAAATGAAAGCTTTCGTAAAATGTTCATCTAAATATGGTATTATAGAATAGTTCATCGTAAATTTAGTCTAAACATTCGCCGAACCTAAAAAAATGTAGTACAATCTGGACCATCATCCTACCTCGTTCATCGCCATGTTGTTGTTCTCCTCAGCATAGATCCTAAAGAGTTCTTCAATCTTCTGAAAAAATATTGCTCATTATGATTGCAACTCCATTCACTTTCTTCGGTCAATTATTTGGTCCACAGTTATTGAAGTATTTTGTAAAATCGTGAAAATTTCAAGATTATTGTTCACGAGCCCACGTTCAGGCATTGAAATGCTACTCTCCTATGAAAAATGAAACTTTAGATAGCTACAAATATATGGAAGAGGTAATAGACTCCTAATCGAACCAGATTGTCGTGAATCTTTTCACGTATAATTTTGCTGTAGTTTGGCATCGTAGAGGAAAATAATGGCAAGGCAACAGCATTGATCGTTGATAACTTTAACCATCCAGAAATAGACTGGGCAGATGAATCTTCTTCAAGAGATGGGAATCACCCAGCATCCCTGTTCTTGGAGTCAATGCGAGACTCATCTTTAATCCAGAACATCACCAAGCCAACCCATTTTAGGGTTAAACAAACCCTATATATACTAGATCTAGTGTTTACTAGTGAAGAAGCAATGATAGATGAGCTTCGCCACGAGGCTCCATTGGGCAACAGCCACCACCTGTCATTGTTTTTCAGTATTAAGTGCTGTGCAGAAAAGTCTCTTCGGAAGCGTGAACGTTTGAACTTAGCGAAAGGCGACTATGATAAACTCATTGAAAAAATGAATGCGGCGAATATTTCGGACTGTATTAAGGACAATAATGTGGCAGATTCATGGTCGTTTCTCAAAGACACAAATATGTCTGCAGTTGATGCTTGTGTACCCAAGATTACGCTTGGAGGAGTCAAAAGTCCCAGTGGATGACCAGTGCAGTTAAGACTCAGCTAAAGACCAAGAAAGAAGCCTACAAGCGTTATTTACGAACTCGCAGCGATTCTGATTATAACCTGTATGCAAGAGCTCAAAATCGAGCTAAAAAAGTCTGTCGCACTGCAGTGAAAAATTTCGAAAAAATATTGCTAAAAATGCAGAAAAGAATCCGATAGCCTATTTTTCGTACGCTAGTTCGAAGTGTAAGACAAACGACGGAATATCTGATTTAAAAGTAGACCAACGAAAGTTTTCCTCTTATGAGGGCAAGGCTAACATTCTTAATCAGTTCTTCAGCAGTGTGTTCACAGATGAGGACTTGAACAGTATTCCAGATATTGAGGAGCGCCCAGTCGGCTCGAAGTTAACGGGTTTTAATATACACAGAGAAGAGGTTCTCAAGCGCTTGGTAGCTCTAAATCCCAACAAGTCATATGGACCAGATGGCTTCCGTCCCAGATTGCTCAAAGAATTAGCAACCGTTCTGGCCGGCCCATTGGCAGTATTCTTTCAAAAAACCTTGAACGAAGAAACTGCCGTCCGACTGGGAAGAAGCTCAAGTATCACCATTGTTCAAAAAAGGTGACAATTAAAAGCAGCCCCGGCAACTATCGCCCTGTCAGTCTGACAAGTGTTGTTTGTAAGGTGATGGAATCTGTTGTGAGGGATATTACTTAACTATAACCAAGGCAAGAATATGGAAAATCACAGCAGTGATGCAATGCATAAGATTATTGTTAGTAATTTTTGACGATGATTGATGAAACTCAAATTATAACATATTTTTCTGAAGAGGCAGTTTAAATCGTCCTGGGCTTTAACTTGTTACGAAGATTATTTAATTCGGTTATACTGTTATACGATCAACTGCATGTATAAGCAGTAATAAGTTATAAAACAGCCATAAAAACAATGGAATTCGATTTCTTGCAATAAAAATGTTTAGCCCTACTACTCATCACTCAATTGGAACTGTCGTGAATCTAGACGCGGACCATGCATACAGTCTCACATGATGAAAACCACAGGAAGCTTTCTTTTAATCAAATTGTACAAAACAATAAGTAGCTTCACCAAAGCCAATGGGCGATCAACCACAAATCGTTAATAAATCAAAGTAATTACCTAAATTCGTTTGAGAGTGGCTAAAATAACGTCAATGTGCACAATGTGCATTGACAGTCAAAATTCACACAATTATAGTGTAATTAAACGACGTTGATGGAGCCCAGTTATGCTTGATTCTGAATAAATTTAAGAACGATAATGAGTATTTAAAGATTCAGTTGCGTGGCCACATCCTCGTAGGCAAATTTTAGTAGTTACCGCTCTTATTTCTTCAACTTGATGAATATTTATCATCTACTTTTTTAGAAACGTGAATCCAGAACAACCTTGCAGCACAGTGATCACTATATATTCAAGCTTCGCTCACATGGCGTTATGCTGCCGCAGGTGTATGGATGTGGCATCTGTGTACTCTTTCATGTTCGTTGAATACATTGTAGCATGTACTAGATCATGCTTGGTCATTTGAAACTGCTAAATTCTTCCATCTACATTATCTCTCGAAATTTGTCATTTTTCCTATAATGATTGAGTATCATAAAATTCCAATCACCGTTAATCACCTATTTTTTGAATGTCAAATGGAATGACGTAATAAAAAATTACCAATGATTCAGAGCAGAGTGTATCTCAAAGTTTAAATCCCTGAAGCCAATTTAGAATTAAATCATTTACTTTCATGTGACCTCAGAATGCATTTTGCCCAAGATGGTGAAACTAATGCTGAATTTATATGATAGCATAACCTCCAGTAGGAAGTCCCGGCTCTAACATTTTTCGCAAAAATTCTAAAAAGAATTAAACGTGTAATGATCTGCATTCTCTACTTGACCGTTCAATATTTAGACTGTACTAAGAATTGCCCTTTCATTTTCTACTCGACATTGATGTTTGATCGTTGCGTTCATCGCCCAGCTCCCAAAAAATTTGAATCGCTCTTGAATTAGAATTCCATGTACATCCTGTATTGTAAACCCTTAAATATATGTACAAATCATCTAACATCTTGGATTACAAATGACGTGACATCATAGATTAAATACCGTCGGACATAGTGATTACAAATCTTTGAATCACTCAATATCATGGATTTATGGATTTGTAACCTGGTATATACAATCTATGCGTCGGCTGGTATCACCGATCACGCGCGCCTGCATGCTCATTTAACGCCATTGCAGCACATATCTGCCACCTATTCGAACATATCGATAATATTTATTGATAGAAATTAATGCCTCTGAGCTCCATGCCTAATGAGGCAATGCATGCACTTGATTGTGTAAGCACAATCATCATATCTGTCCACACTCTGGTCGCGAATATACACAGCCCAAATACCCAGTGTTCGGTCAGCGATTTAATGAGTACATGATTGCACTTTCGCTGGCTTTGACTTACTGTTTCAAGGAATTCTCTCACTTCGGCTGCAGTTGCAAACGAAGCGTCGTTTCTGGTGTATTGGATTTTCTTGTCGTAAGCTGCAATAGCTTCGCTTTTTGACACTGAATGGTAGCTGGTTAGAAAAGAATCTTCAAGAGATCTTCGCTGGGATTCAATTTTTAAATCCATTTCACTCCTGTAAAGCTCAAATGCCTTCTTGCTGGTCTCATTGATTTCGGCACGCTCCATTACATGAAAAGGAAATGTTGTAGGTAAGTTGTTCTCTTAATCTTTATCAGTTGAAAGCTCTCGTTAAAGGTTTATTCAAATATGATTTTTTTGTATTGTTCATTTTAAATTAAGTCAAAGCATCCGCCAAACCTCCAGATGTGCAGTACAATCTGGACCTCCATCCTACCTCGTCCATCGCCATGTTGTTGTTCTCCTCAACATAGGTATTGAAGAGTTCTTCAATTTTCTGAAAAAATGTCGCCCATTATTACTGCAACTTCATGCATTTTGAGAAATAAAGGATTATCATTCACGAACACACGTTCTGGCGTTGCAATGCTACTCCCATATAAGCAATGAAACCTTATATAGATACTGTACAGCTACATATACATGGAAGAGTTAATAGATCCCTAATGGAACTAGAATATCATGAAGCTTTTTGCGTTCAATTCTGCTATAGTTTGGCATTGTAGAGGAAAATGATGTCGAGGCAAAGGTATTATGGTATGGAGGTCAATGATGGCGAGAAGACAGCATTATGGCTGTAAAGGATGACAATATCGGAGCAGATAACCCAAGTAGACGGTGTGTTAGCAACAGAAGAATTACTCGTTAATGATACGCCTAAAATGCAAATAATAGTTTCTGAATGTGCAATATTTTGATATTTTTGGTATTAACAATACAAGCCTGTGAGCAAATAATTTTTTTCAGTGCGGCTGTGCCAAAATATGCGGCGGAGAAGGAGGTGGTTCAGAGTTTAAATCCATTAATTATATCATCGTTGCTTTTCGAGGTTTAATCCCATCACTTAACTATAACCATGACAAAAATATGGATAATCACGGCAGTGGTGCCATGAGTAAGATTTTTGCGAGTAATTTTTGATGATGATTTATCATATTAAATAATAAATCATATATATTAAATTACAATATATTTTTATGGACGGACAGTTTAACTCGTCCTTGGGTTTAACTTGCTATGGAGATTATTTGATTCTGATAGACAATTAATGGCACGTGTAGGCATAAATA